CTATTGACTATTTTACCAAGTGGATTGAGGCAGAACCCTTGGCATCCATCACTGAAGTGCAAGTGCGGAAATTTACAAGAAAGAACATCTTCACACGGTTCGGGTTACCGGAGTCGATCGTCACCGATCATGGCAAGCAATTTGATTGCAAGAAATTTATCGACTTCTGCGACGAAAATGGGGTGGTCCTGAGATTCTCATCTGTAGCTTATCCGCAAGCAAACGGGCAAGCTGAGGCGGCCAACAAGTGCATATTGCATGGGCTGCATACCAGGCTCGCCGAAGCTAAGGGAAATTGGGTGGAGGAGCTTCCAAGCGTCTTGTGGGCGCACAGGACCACCTTCAAAGTTGCAACCGGGGAAACACCCTTTGCACTGACGTATGGCAGTGAAGCGGTGTTACCAGTGGAGGTTTCCATCCCGACCTTTCGGATGGCGCATAGGGAGGAGGCAATGGAGGAACAGGAGCGGATCAATGAATTGGACCTCCTCGATGAGCGTCGTGAAAGGGCGGCTCTGCGCCTGGAAGCAATGAAGTCTCAAGTAGCCCGATACTATAACAAGAAGATGCGCCCGCATGACATTGCGGCCGGGAGCTTGGTGCTGAAGCGCGACTTTCGCCCAAAAGCCACTGATGGTAAGTTGGCACCAAAGTGGAAAGGGCCATATCGCGTGCAAGAGGTAGTCGGGCCAGGCACGTTTAAGCTGGAGCACTTGTCGGGAAAGAAGGTCAAGAGAACTTGGAACGCGCAAAACCTGCGAAGGTATGAAATCGGGGAAGTAAGTGTGATTGGAGAAGAGGGTAAGGTGCCCGAGGGGGCGCCCAGCAAGTGGTAATTATGAAGGGGAAGTGCGGAACCTTGGGGTGCCTTTTGGTAGGAGTAGAGCAAAGCGCTTCAATGCGCCCGGGATTTTTTAATGCGCCCGGGATACTTAAAGCGCCCGGATATACAGTAATGTAAAGCGCCCAATTTAGCGCCCGGAAATATTTTTTGTAAAGCGCCCTTCAGCGCCCGGGATACTTAAAGCGCCCGGAAATAGCGCCCCAAGATTGTTCTTTCTTTTGAAATCGGAATACATATGCATACATAGGTACTTCATTACCCCGCCTATAGCACCAATTCATTGTGCCTTCAAAGCGCCCTGTCTACATAATGCGCCCGGTTATTAAATCATCGTGCCTTCACATCAATGCGCCCCTATATCAACTAATGCGCCCTAACGACAAATGAAAGCAACCCGGGTTATCATGCCCATTACCATTATGCAAAAGTGAAATAAGATGTCCAAGTAAGGCATCAACAAAGTCGAGGCGCGGAGGATCATAAGAAAAGTTCAAAGCATAGAAAGGTAATAGCAAAAACATGGAAAAGATAAGTCTGACACCACATTTACACATGGGCGCCTATAGTCTTGCTATAACATAATCCTACTCCTCGCCTGATGACTCGTCGCCAGACTCTGAGCTTGATCCCGAATCTTCCTCTTCATCCCCCGCTTCCTGAGGCGGCGCAAGAGCAGGATCCATGACGGGGCGCCCACTGGCCATGAAGTCGATAACGAAATTCGCCATCTCCTTGACATCCCAATTGATAGTGGGATGGTCAGCCTCCAATTTCCTCTTCAAAATGAGGATGCTGTTGAGGGACGCTTGGGCCTTGAGCGCCATGTCTGAGGCGGGCGCCGGCTCCGTCGCTTTCCCCTGCTTAAGCGCCTCCAACTCTTCCTGGCGCCTCTTGTTCTCCCTGGTCAAAATCTTCTTCTCCTTCTCCAGCGCCTTCTTCTCTTCAGTGAGGAGGTCGATTTCGCTCCTTTGGGCGCCCGATTCCTTGTCCAGATCATCTCTTTCCTTCACAAGCTTGGCCATCGCCTCATGATGCGCCCGTTTGACACTCTCGAGCTGGGCCTCGTGCTCTGATCTCAATCTCTGCTTTTCCTCGTTGATGGACTTTTGGACAAGAGAGATAGCCTTTGCAGCCTCGAGGTTGGCATCCTCGCACGCTTGCACCAGCTCCGCTTGGCGCCTCTGCGCGGTTGCTAAGTCATCCCTCATCACACTAAGGGAATTGGCCGCCTCGTTCTCTCCCATGCGCAGCGCCTCGCTGGCCAATGCGCCGTTCTTGGCGAGCAAAAGCATCTAAAAAAAAAAAAAAAAAAATCAATGTTTGTTACACTTATGCAAAGTGATAAGAAGGAAGGCAAGATAGGCGCATACCTGGGTAGCCATGCGGGCAACTTCTCCCCACAAGTTTGAGCCCTGAACATCGCTAGGCGCCCGGAGCACCTCGGCCGCGTGAAAGGCAAAACCGAGCGCCGAGCCCCTCTCCAATGCCGACCTGTCCGAGCAAGCAATGTTGACCCTGTGCCTTGGTGGTTGCAGCCACTTCTCAACAAACTCGGGCACACGCTCCTCTGCGCTCGTGCGCTGCCTTTTGCTTGGAGCCTGTGCGTCTACCTCAGCGCCCTTCCTCTTTAGTTTATGCCCTAGAGGGACCTCGTCGATATCCAACTCCGCGTCAGACGGAATATCAACGCTGGGCGCCCTATCGTCGGGTTGCACAACACTAGGCGCCACCTCCTCCTCCTCCACAAGAGAGACGATAGGCGCCTTCTGTGATTTGGTACGCCGGGGGCTTGAACGCCCCTTCGATTTCCGTGAAGGAGCAGGCGCATCAGCCTTAACAACGGAGGAGGGGGACTTGCTCTTCCCTTTCTTCGACGTACTTTTTTTCGGGCGTGATGGCCCCTTGCCACCAAAGTCGGGCGCCTTGTACTCCAGACCCATGACCTCAAGTTGAGTCCTCATCAGTGAGGCAATGGTCGTGAAGTCCACACCTGCGTAGTAATATATACACGGTAATCAGTGAGGAAAGCATGATAATCATTCATCAAGTGTAAAGTAAAAGGGGCGCATGATGGTCATTCATCAAAAGAGCAAAGGAAAACATGTTCAACACATTGGCACTACTAAGCGCCTACCTACCGTCAGCATAGTACTCATGTAATACTGGGGTCCTAGCGGCTGTGGAACTTAGGTTCACTGGGTGGAGAGATAATAGGCGCGCGTGATCTTTCTCTTCAGGAGATAGTTCCACGGCAACGTTGAAATGCGTAGTAGTACCAAGTTTCCAATCCCGGGTGAAGCATGCGCCACTCTCGTAAAAAGATTCTGCTCGCGCCTTAATAAAAAAGTAGCCCCTATACCACTTGCGCCCCAACTTCGGGCAATCTTCTACAAAGTGTCCCGGGATGTCTAGGCGCCTCTGAAGGGACAAACAGTTGTCACTGCTTGTCATGGTGAAGAAGTACCGAAACAGCTTGAACGTGGGCGCAATGTTATTCTGGCGGCACTTCAGTTTGAAAAGAATATGAAGCAAAAAGACGGAGGGCGATAGGCGCCCCAGAGAACAGGCGCATGTAGTGAGGATCCCCTCTAGAACCGAATCCAAGGGAAAGCGGAGCCCAAACTTAAAATACTCCCTATATATACCAAGCCACCGTGGACCAATTGCGCCTATCCTGGCAATTGAGGATGCAGGCGCATAAGACCAAGTGCGGGGCAGGTTGCACGAGGTAATCAGTCGGTGCATCTCGGGTACTTTGATGGTGGACGAGTGTTTTGGCCCGGCTCGCCGAACAGATAATTTGCTGGTGCTATCAGGCGCCTCTCCCTGTGGCCAGGTATCTTCCCAATCCACTATCTTGAACGACCCATCTTCAGGGGCGCCCGAGTCAATAGATGAAGGAGAAATCGCCAAATCGCTCGACACTGATGAGGTAGGCGCGGAGCCTAAAAGTGATCCAAGCGTCCTTAATCAATACTACGGACCTAAGACCTTTGGTGGGCGCCTAGCATAGGTTCAAAGTGAAATTAAGAAAATTCAAACAGCGAGAAAAGTGAATTACCCGGATTGGTGGCGGCGGGTGCAGTCGAGGCCGCTGTCACCGAGGGCGTCTCGGCATCGGCGGGCGCGGAGGAAGCAGGCGCAGGCTGGGTGTTCTTAGGCGCTTCGGTTTCAGCAGGCGCAGATGAAGAAGGAGTAGATTTGGTGTTTTTAGGCGTCTCCTTCCGAGATCGAGGCGCCCGCTGGTCCTGGTTGCGAAGCGGATCGGGGGACAGATGCTTCTCAAGCACATCAAGTACGCTGGGCGCTGCGCTTCCGGTTTTTTCGCCGATGGTGTCGGCCGCACCGAAATCCGACTGCGACATGATTTGTCGGTTGACAGGGGCGCACGAACAGGAGGCAAATAGGGCGTGTGGACGGGATGGAAAGCAAGGTTAGAGAGAGAAGCTAGAGAGAGAAGGGATTTTGGTGCGAATGAGGAGGGGAGAGGCGAAAGCTTAGTATTTATAGTAGGAGAGAGGAGAGGGAAAGCCCACCTCGGGATACGCGCGCGCCGAGCGGGCAAATCCTCGCCCTCCGTTCAAAATTCGAATTTTCAAAATTCGAAATTCGAAATTTCAACGCACGCCGAGGGGGGGGCAAGCATACGGTCATGCGCCTCGATTAAAACTCGAACAGGGGAGGAGTCATGATCGGGTAGTTATGCGCCTGTCTTCAGCAAATGGGCAAAAAGTCGTACACTGGCAATTATGCGCCCTTCTTTATGAAGGTGGGTGAGGAATCACAAACGGGCACGCACAAGCGATTATGCGTCTAATTGAGTTTAGGCAGATGAGGGGTCGGCAAGCCACCGTTATGCGCTTGCCTAAACAGGCAGGCAAAGGGCCAACTTCACATACGGTCAGGAAAGCGGGTGAAAGTTTACAAGCGTCTGTAGAAGCCAACAGATACATGGTGTGGGGGGCAAGGCGGCGTTGGCACTTGCTAAGATCCCTAATGAGGACGAACGGTGAACGGGTGCCGTGGCAGAGCGCCATGCGCCAAATCAATCCTTTTATAGTTAGGCACTCACGAGTGAGTACCTAACTGGGGGGCAATTGTTGGGGAAGTATGAATGAGCCTGTCTATAAACCCAGAGCCTGATGGGCTTAGAGCCCATTAGTGGCCCATTGGGACAGGCCCTGAGAGATACCAACGGTAACGGGGCGCATGGCGACAAAATAGGCTCGCGGACAAAGAAGTACGGTGAAGGAGAATCAGAAAAACGCCACGAGGGCGGATGGTCCCCCCATGCGCCCTGACACCAGAGTCTGACGATGCGCCACGTGGAGGCGCCTGGACGTTGGACCAGACCAGGCATTTAATGCGTGACTGACGAAAGGCTTTGTGACAGAAGTTGGTCGGAGCCTGGTCGAGGGGTTCGAGTAGTATAAATAGCGCTCGGTAGGTGGCATTTACTGAGGGCGGTTTCTCTCACTAAATCATTATTTCTTCGCTTATCTCTCTAGAACTAGCACTGACTTGATCGTCGGAGTGCTAACGAGTGGCTACAGCCCTCTAGGCGCTAGTTTTGCAGGGTCTAAGCGCCTGCGGTGTGGTGGTTAGGGTGCGATTGGAGGAGGGAAGCATCCGGGCATCAACAGTTTTCAAGTCATTGCTAAGCTGACCTGTGTCATTATTCTCTGTAAAATGTTCTTCCTACCAACAATGAAAGCTGTGTTATTATAGTGTATATTTATTGTTGAGTACGTGATAGCAATGGGGCGGGTCGGGGTGGGTACCTCAATATTCATGTCCCGCCCTATGCTACTACGGGTCGGGGCGGGTAATACCCTCGTGGGTACGGGACGGGGCGGGTTGATCCACTCTTGTTTTTTGAAAAAATACACGAATTTTTTTTACCTTTTAGGATAAAACGAAGGGGAAAATGCTTCATGAATGAATAATAGTTATAATATAATGGGCAATTGAGTCTACTTGGTTGAAAAATCAAGTCTAACTAGTTGAAGAAAATCCAAAATAGGAGATATATGAATGAATCACATAAGAAATTGACCTAGAACGGGTTAAGAACCAGACGGAGCGGGACGGAAGTTGATACCCATGTCCCGACTCATGCTAATGCGGGTCGGATACTACCCGCCTCATCACGAATCAGATCAGGTAATACCCGACGGGGCGGGTTCAAATTGGCATACGTCCCTATGGCAAAATGGCAAATCAATCACGATTTTAAACCAAAACTACATATGTCCATTGTAAAGAAAATGTATTAAACAGTAGTTTCACAAAATAATACACACAAAAAAAAAAGACATGCAGGGCTGCATATTAGACAGACCATCAGACCCTAAAAATTAGTTGACTTGTAAAAATCTCCCACAGTTCAATTTGTGGCAAGGCAAATCCCCTCTACTCCTGCCTGCCTACAAATTAGCTTTCTATCACATAGCTGCACAGTCTGTATCCAAAATTAACACGCCGTTCTTTCTTACAAAAAAGGAAACAATTAACCGTAAAAAAAATCTTCTTGCAATAGTGATTTTCCTGATCAATCACTTTACAGTAATTGAGGAAATTCATGACCAACCCCATTTCCAATGTTTCCATTTCTGTGTTTATATATATGAATCTTACCGTCCAAGCAAAGATCAAGAAGAAGAAAGCTCCAGAAAGAGCTCTGCAATTCAAAACACAACAAACCCACCACCAAAAAAAAAGTTGCCGTTTCTTTTGAACTTTTGATCAGAAATGGGACACAAGAGAGTGAAGATGGAGCTGATAAAGAACGAGCGAAACCGAATCCAGACTTTCAAGAAGCGGAAGGCCAACCTGATGAAGAAGATGTCCGAGTTCTCCATCCTCTGCGGGGTGGACGCGTGCCTGATCATGTTCGGTCCGACGAGGACGACCGAGGCCGCGAAAGAGGAGGAGGACAACGAGCTGGAGACGTGGCTCCCGGATCCGCGAGCTGTCAGGGCAATGATCCAGAGGTACAGGACCGCGGATGGCCCCAAGAGAACCTACCAACTCTCCGATTACTTCACGGAGAAGAAGAAACGAGTCGACCTCGAGCTGGCCAAGATCAACAGGCAGATCTACCGGCACAGGTTCGCTGCCGGATGGGACTCCAGGCTCGACAGATTCTCCGCGGATCAGCTCACCGTCCTGCTGGGTCAGTTGGATTCCAAGCTCAAACTGGCCGATAAAAAACTCGCGAGCTTCAGCTCGGCTGAAGCAGCTCGTCGTTGTAATCAGCTGGAGTTCGATTTCAGTCCCATGGTGGTTCAGTTCCCTCCTCTTGTTCCTGCTGCTGTGGTTGGGAATTCGTACATTATGGGCTTCGATCGGAATATTGAGAAATTGTTACTCTGTAAAGATTACGTGGATGTCAGGCAACAGCTGCAGGACAGTAGTTCCAAGTCGGCCCATCAGCAGGAGCAGGAGCAGCAGCAGAGTTCGTTTATGGCTTTGTTGAATGCGAATTCCTCCGAAGCAAGCAATGAGATTCAGTATAGTAACCTACATTCCCAAAGTGGGTTACGGCAGCTTTTACCAGATGTGAACAGCTCCGGTGGTTGTTACTCTGCAGCAGCAGCAGCAGCAGAAGAAGAATTGAGCCCAAACGAGTTGAGCAATGTTGGGTACTCGATCGATTTCGAGCTTTTCAATCATCATCGTCAAGTGACGAAGCCAGTACCTGACAGCCAAATGATGATGCTGACGAGCTTTGGAGGTTATGGTCAGGATTCGGGGACATACAGTTCGTTTGGTGCTGCTGCTACTTATCCGAATCCATGGGGGATGGATTATGGTGGTGAGTTTGGGAACAATTATTCTTCTGATTGGTCGATGATGAGTTACATGACCCCTCCATTAAGCACCTTTCAGCAAATTCTGCAGCAGCCACATCAGTTGCAGTTTTCGACGACGGCTGCTCAATTTGCTGCTGCTCATTACCATCATGGCCAGTTTTCTCAGCAATTGGATGGTGATGATGGTGGTAGCTCTGGGTTTAACCAGAAGTGAAGTGCAATGGTTTCTTGGTGTCATAGGCTCTTGTGCTTTCTCTGGAATCCATAGTCTTTCAAGAGTATCTAGTAGATGATAATGAACTGTCAAGCTAATTCAATTTCTCATTGCAAGTGTGCTTAATAGGTTTTCCAATAGAATTAGAAACGCATTTTTTTCGACATTCTGTTTTTTAGTTTTTTTTCATAGATATTCTCATGGAACAAAATGATACAAAATAATAGTATTTTGTAATAGTGTTGGGGCTCCTGATATTATACAGATTACTGATTGTTAATTAGTTATAATAATGATTCAATCATGACCATTAAAACATTATTTCAAACAATGACGCTTTGAAAAGCTCCTTGGGAACTTTAAGCAGAATAAAACTCAATACTTGAAACAGAAATATAAGCCAGGGGAAGAGTACTAACCTTCGGCATTTCCCCGCTTCCTCATCTGTCTGAAATGATGTCAGAAACAAGCTCGCTCTGCTGTTTGCCGGAGGTCGAGCGGGCAGATCATCAGGAACATCGCCACAGTTTCAAGCAACCTTCTGCCAGCTTTTGTAATGGTGATCGACGAAGGATACTTGCAGCTCAAGAAATATGTCATCACTCATCACACCTTAAGACCACAGATACAGGTAGCTGTTGATTAGTAGGGATCAGCAGCAGCTCATCTTTTGCTTTGATTCAACCTGAGAAAAGTTGTTAGTTTCTTACCTTTTCTTTATACATACGGCAGGATGTGGCAAACTTTCCTGGTGGTGTACTCTGCATGGCCATCCATCTTTGAGCTAGCTTTCATGAAAGCAGCAACTGGGACGCTCTCCCACATCGATATGGCAGTGGATGCCTTCTTTGATGTCGACATTGTCCGCAACTTTCTTTGTGGCTTATCTTGACATGACCACTTATCTTCTCGTCGATGATCACAAGAAGATTGCTGCAAGGTCTTATATACATGTTTATCTTCTCATTTCCCTCATCTTCTTGTCTTCTGAATGAACAAGCAATGAAATATTGAGGTATGCAAACAAGAACCTCTGCCTCCTGAAAAGCTTGAAAGAGCAAATGCTGGCACACATGCAACTGCAGGATCTGGGATGTGACGAGCTACGAGAATGGTACAGAACAGGTACGTCCACGAAAAAACACTTCCATTCTCTTGTCAGGAAATTCTCAATTCTCAAAGAACATCTAACTCATAAGTTTGTGGTGAACAGCTACAGAAGAACCCACTTGTACTGAGCGTGATTAACAATAGAAACAATCCATGAAAAGACTACATCTGATAAGAGCAAAAGTGGCCCAAAAACACAGACAATTCTGCCAAATAGTCTTTGACTCTGAAAAGTTGCGATCCCCACCCTCCAGAACTTGCATTCTGCAGCAGCAAAACAAAATGCTGATCAGCATATTAAATTCTAAAAATAATGGTTCAGTATATCCTAAAACAAAACTAGTCCTGATTATTTAAGGTTTTAATGCACCAATAACTACATAGATCAATTAGAATCAGAAACTACTAATGCCTAAAGGGGTGTGAAACGTCAGCCACAAGAGATTATACAAGAAACAACAAATGCACAATCAGAAACTAATTGCCCTTTTCGTTCTATTATGCGAGAAAGACTAACGTCTTCCCTCCCTGCGCACAATGACTAAAAACCTGGTACCAGGAGCTTCTGCTTTCACTCTTCAATCATAACTAAAAGAGAATTTCAATGCCCTCCACTCATTTTAGCTAACTTCGGATGCTCAACTATCAAGATATTGATGTTTGCTCTGTTGATGACTCACCACTGTGCCTTCAGCAACTGAGCTAATAGAGAATTTGTTAACTTTTCTTATCAATGTTCATTTTTCAGGAACACATGAAACTTCATTATCTACCAAGTCTATCAGCCTGATACAGTCGAGGAACTTCTAGGATTGGGAGGTAACACTGTATTATGAAATCCATCAATCAATAAAGAAGTAACATGTAAATAGCTATGGCATTATTTTTTTCTAACACAAGCATAGATGCATGTTTGTGCAAAAACTATTTCTACCTGACTGACCTAGCCAGAGGCAGTATAATGCCTTACTAGCCTTGGCAAATGGTAATCACTAATCAGCGTTAAAACATTGCACAAGCACAGAAATATGCAACACAACAAATTTCATTCCATCATGCTGAAAGTACCTATAATGAGAGGACTACAGGCACTGACTAGCAGGTTTACAACATCACATTCGGCTATACAACATGTTTAGTGGCATCTCGTAAGCAGTATAAGGAATTGCAGACACAATAAAGCGAGATTTTAACCTTGTATACACCTTTCCCTTGCAGAAAAGAAGTTTGGTAACAGAGGAAACAAAATTGTCATGGAGGATGGCACAAAGGTTGAAGATCTGGACGCCCTAAGAGAGAATGACAACTTGTTTGCTTTTTAGATTCTGAACTGTTATTCGATATGACTCGTAGGTGTCTTCCTTATGGACTCTCAGACACATACTTTCAAAGGATTTCTGAGCATATTATTGCAACTTTTTTGTGTGTAATCCCCTTCTTGTTTCTTTGATTCTAGGAATTGTGCTCTTGTGATTTTAACAATGCAATAGCCACAGGCACCTTTGAATGTGTATATTAAAGCTAGAATTAATGTTTCTTTAAGAACATCCAATCCTGTTTACCGTCATCAATGTCGGCGGTTGAGTATATCCAGAAGGGAATAAGCAGCTTTCTGGAACTTCTCTTTCTCTTCGTCCAGAGCTTTCTTCCTCTCCATAGCCGCCTCTTTGCATTTCCCAATCTCCTCCGTTACTCCAGCAGAAGTTTGGTCCATTTCACTGCAAACACAGAAATGCTTCAGCATCAGAGAGGGAAATCAGATCCAATCCAAACCTAGGGCTTAGTTATCCGTCCACCTTGTCATCTTAAGCATCTCCGCCATCGCGTTCTGGACTTGCTGCGACATATCTGAGAACACATAATAACAGACGATCAATTCACGCAAACATCTCTGATTTCAACAGTCCGAGAGAGCGAGACGCATCTTATCCCATACTGATCGAAACTTCCCGAGAAAAATCGTTTTCGGAAGATCAAAAACACGAACATCAAGATGCTCAAGAGATCAGTAGAACGGTTTCCGATCGCTAACTGACTCGTCTGAGAAAGAAAATCCACGAAATCGGACCTCGCGACCGGAGATTCAAACAGCTTAGTCTACGACTGCGGAGGATCGAGAGTGGAAGGGAAACGAACCGTAGATGACGGAGGTGAGCTCCAATTCAGTTTCCGAAGACGGAGCGAGAGCCATCGCGGATGCGGAACCTGTAGGCGAAGCAGCCATTTTCGATCAAAGTTGCTTGAGAGCGGATTGGAACCGGAACCTCTTCGAAGCCTTTCGAAACTTTGAATTTTTTTTTTATGAATGAGAGCTGGCGGGAGTGCAAGTTTTCGCGTGCTTTTTTTTCCTCTGGAGCCAAGCTTCTTATATTTCCCGGAAAAGGAATCTCGGCCCTTCACACGCCGGATAAAAGTCGTTTGATTTGGGCCAAGTAATGTGAAAGGTTCAATTAATCAGGTTTGGGCTTGGGAGTTTCGAAAGGCGTTGCTGGCCAATTCCAAGCCTGCTAAACAACTCTTTTTGGGATGGGCTCGAACGTTTGGTTGGGCTTTTGACTGTGAGCGTTACGGACCGGACGGTCATTTTCTGCTCCAAGGTTGTCAACCCGCGGGTTGACCCGGACCCGGTTGAGCTAGTGGGTTAAGAGTTAATGGGTCACCCGTTTTAGTCCGGAAATATGGAAAGCGTCACTATATTGTACTTATCTCATCTAACATATGAGTTATAACATATAATATTACACCAAAATAACATGTCATACTTAGATTCAACATATAGTGAAAATTCACACACACTTATATAACATTAATATTCAAATGTTCAACTTAGGATTCCAAAGATTAAGTTAGGCGAAAAGAAAAATCGAAAAATAGACGCATTTCGCAAAACAAAGAAAAAAATGACACAATTTGACCTCCAACCCGGTACCTTGTAGCGGTCTACCCGGTGGATGCGTACGGCCCGTTTTTCTCATCGGGTCAGGGTCAAAGTGGGTCAATCCGTAGGTCGACCCTCGGGTTGACAACCTTGATGCTTTCTGATCGTGCATGAAAATTGTTTTCCAAGCACTTGTCGTGATAATATTTTTAGTCATAAATAAATATATAAACGAAAAGATCAAATAATTGCAAATTTCAATAATAATTGCAAATTGTTTGTTATCTTCAATTCATTCCTACATGCCACTTTTGGATTTTTATTTATTCATATACAAATTTGTAGTCTTGTTGGTTGTTTTTGCATTACCAACCCAATATTCGTGCTTCGGCCCACAAATCGGAGCACATCAACACTACTATACAAAATCAATGATCTCAGTCTAGTATTATATTCTTATCGTCACTTTCTTTTGAGATCTTTGCTCTGAGATTCCCCTCGTAAATCATGTGCTTGGGCAATTCAATCAAGTAATTAATATAATTAATCCATTGCCAGGAAGAAGGTTAACAAGTTCATATAACTCACAGAGATAAATATGACTGTGATTTAAGAGTTAGTGCACGATTCAATTCCTTTCACGAATCACGATATGATGAATTATGTACCGTAACAATTCATGAATCAGTGCGCCTATATACAGCAAAAAAATATTATACAAACGGAACAATCATCTAACTATATCCAATCCAACATAACAAATTGTCACAAATCAAGTAATATTGTATACTTTAATATTTAATATAACTTTGTACAATCCCACACCTAAAATTCGCGAGTTTGCATCAATAATGAATTATCTTATCCACAAATGTCGAGCAGTGAGCCAACAAGTTGATCTTGTTATCTGCCTGCTGCAACTTTGGGTAGCAGACCTAACATTCAAAAAACGGAATGAAAAACAGAGTTAAAATCCCACCTTCTATTACAGAAATGCATTAACTAAATAATGTTTATCCGGTACAAACACTGGTGGATCCGAACATACTGTATCGAATATCGAAAATAAAAAATAAAAAAAATACAAGTGCTAATACTAACTCCGAACCCAACATAGGGCTAGACCAATGACCTCTCAAATGACAAAATCTTTCACTGAATACATCACTACAAACACCAATTTAATCCGATATAATTCGATACAGACTAAACTATTGCACATCCCTACTGTCATGAACCAGTTGGTCACAATAACTCGAGTTGTTGGGAGAAGGTTATGGTGGATCTTATAGCACTCTCTAACACGCCCCCTCAAACGAAAGTCAACTCATGGGCTTGAAGTTTGCACAGGCCCGCCATACGTTGTGCTTTTAATTAAGTGTTATAGTCAGGGCCGGCCAAGAGGGTGTGATGGCCCGCCCTCCGGCACAGGGCCTCAGAATATTAGGGGCCTCTACTTAGATTCGTCAGTTACCGATCGTATATTGTAGGTTGTATTTTTAGTGTATGATTGATTGATTATTAGTATGATGATGTGTTTAATAGATAATTTTAGCTATAATAACAATTGAAAAGGATCTCATGGAGAATACGAAAATCTGCAAAATAATAGATAATTTTAATTTAAACAATATAGAAAGATATTACATTTTGAATAATGTTATTATAATCATTTTAGTTTTATTATCGTTAAAGGTTGATTTGGACCACGTCTAGATTTTGAAATAGGGCCTCCACGATCTAGTAGACAACCCTGCACCCACCTCTCGATCAATTTAGACTATTTTCATTTCTCCATTCAATTTTTGCGCTATATTCATTTTCTCTTCCTTCCATATTTACTTTCCTCCCTACTAGGGCCGGGAATTCGGACTTGGTTTCTTTGTCAAACTGGAAACGAGATCGTTTATTCCTGATGTAATCTTTTTCTGAACTTAAGTATTTTTTTTACAATTATTTACTAATTTTTAATTTTGATAAATTTATGGGTAAAAAATTAGGGTCACATTTTAAATTTTCGAACAGGGCCTCCAAATATAATGGGACGGCCCTGGTTATAGTGGAGGTCGTGAAGATTCAAACACACGACCACATAACAAAACCAGCTCTGATACCATGTCATAAACCAGTTGGTTCCAATAACTCGAGTTATTGGGATCGGAATTATGACCCATACCACCTTCTATAAATGGCCATATCCACCTATCCCCTCCTCTCTCAACCTTCCTTCTTCCCTTCCCAAACCCCTGTACCAATCAAAAACCTCCATCCCTCACAAACAAAAGAAATGAAAGCAAGAAGCTACCTCACCCTCATCTTCATCCTCACCATCCTCCTCCTCTCCTCACCATCTTCCCACGCCAAGAAGAAAAACAACAAACACAAGCCATGCAAACAACTCGTCCTCTTCTTCCACGACATCATCTACAACGGCCACAACAAGGCCAACGCCACGTCAACCATCGTCGCCTCCCCGGAGGGTTCCAACCGGACCATCCTCGCCGGCGAGTTCCACTTCGGGAACGTCGCCGTCTTCGACGACCCGATCACAGTCGACAACGACCTCCACTCGCCGCCGGTGGGCAGGGCGCAAGGGATGTACTTTTACGACACCAAAAACACGTACACGGCCTGGCTAGGGTTTAGCTTCAGCCTCAACAGTACGGAGTACCAGGGTAGCATTAATTTTGTGGGAGCCGATCCGCTTATGAACAGGACGAGGGATATTTCGATCGTCGGCGGGACGGGGGATTTCTTCATGCACAGAGGCGTCGCCACCGTCATGACGGATGCGTATGAAGGGGAGGTGTACTTTAGGTTGAGAGTGGACATGAAGTTCTACGAGTGCTGGTGATTGGTGAATGAGGATGAATTCCGTCGAATGTTTCTGTATTCTTCTTGAGGTGTATGTGTGACACATTTGATAAGATTCAAGAATAAAACGAATAATAAGGGTTTGGTGAGGTGGTAATCGTCATAAACCAGCTGGCCGCAATAACTCGAGTTGTTGGGAGAAGATTATGTTAGATCTTATACATGCTCATGTATGGTAATTAACCACTTTTTTACACGCCACCTCAAACGAAAGCCGACTCATGGGCTTGAAATTTGCACAGGCCAGTCATACTTCGAGTTGTTGGGAGAAGATTATGTTGGATCTTATACATGCACATGTATGGTAGTTAATCACTTCCTTACACGCCACCTCAAACGAAAGCAGACTCATGGGCTTGAAATTTGCACAAGTCCATCATACCATGTGCTTGAAGACAACGATTAATTAATTATATTGAGGGTCGTGAGGACTTGAACACGTGACCTCGCGGACAAATCAACTCTGATACCAGAGTCATAAACCAGTTGATCCCAATAACTCGTCATAAACCAGTTGATCCCAATAACTCGAGCTGTTGAGAGAAGGTTATGCTGGATCTTATACGTGCCCATACATTGTACTTAACCACTTACTTACAGTAATATCATTAGATTTGAATTCGAAATGTCTCAACTTCCAATTCTGTAAATAGTTGTTGAACAACAAAAATTGAACGTATATCGTCTTTATAAAATCAATCAATATCCAATTATATTTGTTTTGTTTTTTGATTAAATGTATTTTTCTGCTTTTGTGAATTGGAGTGATGTAGAGCTTAATCATTGAATGTGACGGCAAAACAAATGTTTGTGAAACCGAATATCGGAGGTTACATTAGATAATTGAGTAGTGGTAGAATATTTTGTATTAAATCGTAATTTGATAATGGATCAATTATTTTGTATCGTTAAAACTTAAAACCGCCGACCGATTGATAATGGATCAATTATTTTGTGGGCTAGCATGTTTGCATCGTTTGGGGTTTTATAATTTTTTTTTCGAATGGATCGAAAGCCCGCTTAGAAATATTTTCTCTGTTCTATTTACGATTCTCAGCCCAATTCCTAGGATAAATTACGGGATTAACCTCAGATTTTTACTTCTTTTTTTTCTGATACGAGGAGAAATCGGTCTTGCAAAAAATGCTAATTTTTTTGTGTTTTTCTTTGAAATTCGACCATGAATTGGTAAAGTCTCATTTGGATTGCGAAATATGTAGTCTTATAGAATGTCGTTGATGTGTTCTTCAAATGTGAAAATTTTTACAAACCATTATTAAATTCACGTCAAATTGTACTAAATAATGGAAAAGTACGTAACTACACTTAACATTAGGAAGGAATATTGTTAGCTAAATACTAAAAACTACTTACCACTGTACCTTGACAATGGGCCGTGGTTGGAGATACAAGGCGCGTGTCATCTCAAGTTCATTTTCCTCGACTCTTGTCTATATCATGATACATAAGTTTTCGTGTCATTTCGTACTCATACCATATCCTAACCATAACGTGTCGTGTTAGTCCGTAAACTACTCAGTCGGGTGCTACACAGTACCCTAACAATAACGTGTCGTGCTAGTCCGTAGCCAACTCGGCCGGGTGCCGGTAAACTCACCAGTCGCCACCTACCATAACATATCTCAGAGTTTGGTGGTGTTTTTTTTCTCCCTTGCATCACCTACCTCATTCTCATCTTTTAACATGTGCAATTACAGCTTCTCACCTACCAGCCATACATGAGTTTACGTCCCCACGTACAGAAAAAGGACGACACAGAAAAGGGACAAAAAGCCAAGAATGCAAATATCATCATCAGCTCATGTTCATAAATATTTGCATTTTGCAGTCACAAAGAACAGAAACAAACAGATGTAAAGGGGAAACAATAAGCCACAGACTCTGCATGGCATGGAAAAAGCCGAAACTATTGTAAGAAAACAGGTCCTATTTGCTTTATGGACTATTTTCCCAAAAAACACAAGAGTTAAGTACTAAAAAATTAATAATACTACACTTACAGTATATAAAATACTTAAGATACACACTAGTTTGGTGCGATTCGCTGTAGTGTCCAGCAATTGTGGTGCTGGTTCGCTGGAGACCAAAGTTATGACCGTTTGAAAATTTCGTGCATGTTAGGTTTAGATCGCTAGAGCCGGCCGTGATTTTGAAGGCTGGATCGCATCTCTATGCAATAATAATCCGTGGAGATCGAATATGTTGGGAAAGCAATCCCGGTAAAATCACTCCGACTTCCAATGAATCGGTATCAAACTCGCTATTTTTAGAAAGTTTGAGTGTAGGTGTGTAGTAATGTGAGAATTTTTTATTAGTAAGGGATGAAATCCCTTTGTGACAATAATGCATCCGTCCTCATAAAGGGTGTGCAATGGTTTGGTCCATATCAGACTACACTCAAACCAATTAATATATAACGTGGTTCAATCTGTTTCTATAAATTTTATAAATACAAAGAAAAAAACCCAAATCAAATTTATATTTGGATCGAACCAACCATAATTCAATCTAATTTTATCAATCTTGAATTCAACTGTGGTTCTCCGCACACCCCTAGCCCTATAAAAAGCCCCCTCCATGCCAAAACATAGAAGTACTCAACAAAGCACATTTGTGCAACCCTCCAAAAAAAAAAAAAAAACACCAAATCTAAAGATCACAACTATGAAGAAAAACCAAAGCACCCATTCCTTCCTCCTCCTCCTCTTCATCACCACCACCACCTTCTTCTTCACCTCAACCATGGCCGCCACATCTTCCCCCAAGAAAACCCCTCTCACGCCATGCAAGAAACTCGACCTCTATTTCCACGACATCCTCTACGACGGCCACAACGCCGCCAACGCCACCTCCGTCATCGTCGCCAGCCCCGTCGCCGGCTCCTCCAACTCCGGCACACGCACGTCCCTCTCCCCGAACTTCCACTTCGGCGACATGATCATATTCGACGACCCCGTCACGCTGGACAAGAACATCCGCTCCAAGCCCGTGGGCCGGGCCCAAGGCTCGTACATCTTCGACGCCAAGTCCACGTACTCGGTGTGGCTGGGCTTCGCGTTCGTGCTCAACAGCACGGATTACAAGGGCAGCATCACGTTCGCCGGGGCCGAGCCCGTGACGCTGAAGACCCGCGACGTGCCGGTCGTCGGCGGGACGGGGGATTTCTTCATGCACCGTGGGATTGCGACGACGACCGACGAGGTCGTGGACGGGCATCTTTGTGTTGGGGTTCATGTCAAGTTTTACGAGTGTTACTAGGTTGATGGGGAGGTTTTGGGCCGGGCTTGTAGTTTTTAATGGGCTGAAGATGGTAATCCATGTATCTGTTGGGCCTAGCTTGCTGTAACAAGAATCGGAAATAAGATCGGAGAGATGATTGTTGGTTGTTTAAGCAGTAAGCACTCGGTTAATAAACTTGTGTTTTGTGGATCGGTTAATAATTAATTAATTTTAAAATTTTGCTCTTAATTCATGCCCGATAAAATAGAGAATACATACACGACACTAATTCTAGGACTCAATTTTGTCACTAAAGCATTGGCGAATCTATGTCATTCATCAGGAAAAGTTGTAACTTGTAACACAATATTCCAAAATATTTTTCAAAGGAAATCATACAAATTCTTTTATTGAATTCAAATTAGTAATTAAGATAGGAGCCAATAAACACGGATCACTTAAATCTAACAAAAGAGGCGAGAATTTTTTTTATTGCATTATGGATTTGAAGTCTATTATTTATTGCACAATAGATTTGATGACAAGAAAAACCACACCTCAATCAAGCAACAAGAAAAAGAATAAGCTTGCAAAAAATTCATGGACCAATTCCATGGACAAAGCAGTCTTCTTCTTCTTCTTCTTTTTTCCCCTCTAGTTATTTGTAGAATGTGACCAAAACTCCTGCACAAGTTGGCGAAAGAGGGAGCCTTCTTCATTCATCAGATTTTCCGGTGCGTCATACTCTGCCAACTTCCCTGTTTTTCGTTTGAAAATAGAAAACAAAAACAAAGGTGATTAATTGTTCCCACATAGCTACGGAATCAGAATTTGGAGGGCCGAACAGCGATATGTGTAGAGAGAGAGAGAGAGAGAGAGAGAGAGAGAGAGAGAGGGTTTTATAAGGTTGTTGTTAGATACCGTCGGCGATGGCAAGAACCTTGGTGCTGTCCATGACAGTAGGGATTCTGTGAGCTACAGTGATGACGGTGCACTCTGCAAACTCTGTTCTGATGATCCTCTGAAGGATCGCATCTGTGGTGTTGTCAATGGAAGCTGTTGCTTCGTCCAGCACCAAAACCTTGCTTCGCTTCAGCAGCGCTCGCCCCAGGCAGAACAGCTGCCTCTGCCCCATGCTCCAATTCGATCCTTCTTCTGCAACTGCAACACCAATATCGATGTCGGTAACGTTAGTAAATGGTATAAGATTAATGATTGAACATCTTTCAACAATTCAAGTAATCGGGATAAAAAAAAATTGATCAAGTTTAGTAGATGGGTTTTCAATTTCAATGTTGCTATTACTTGAAAACCGATTATCTGCCATCTGGAAGTTATGAGGGTCTCGCTGGAGAAGGTGCTAGGGTTAGACTTTTTGGAGAAGGTGCTCTATTCGTAATCTGTATCTTCTCAAGTATAATGAAAGTTGGTATTTTGTGCTCGTGAATTAGCTAGCACACTTCGTATTATTGAACCGCGTGAATCTTTGTATTATTTATTGTCTTGTATTGTCGATTTCCTGTTCCGTTCTAACAGTAAGAATGAATGTAATCTGAAAGCATAGTAATATAGCTAGCTATTCCATTACCTGATGTGTCCAGACCTTCTTCCTTCTGCAGAATGGCTTCCCGGAGCTGGCATTTCTGCAGAACCTCCCATATTTCTGGGTCAGTATGCTGAGACAAAGGGTCCAGATTGTACCTCACAGTACCACAGAAGAGGGTTGGCTCCTGTGGGATGATCCCAAAGTGTGATCTTAGGTCATGGAGTCCTATTGTGGAGATGTCAATCCCATCTATGACAATCCTTCCTTCTGTTGGCTCCACTAGCCTGAACAATGCACTGATGAGAGTTGTCTTCCCACTCCCAGTCCTTCCAACTATCCCAATCTTGTCCCCTCCCTCGATCCTGCAGCTTATGCCACGGAGAACCAGTGGACTGTTCTTCTGATACCTCACGTTTAAGTTACAGATCTCCACTTGGCCATGGCTTGGCCAGTTGGATGGAGGCCTTCCACCCTCAATCACCTGTGGAGCTTCACTAGGAATGTGCATATACTGTTCTAGCCTTTCTACTGAAATGATTGATTCTGCTGTGAAGCACTGGTAATGCACTGCTACTATGAGGAACACATTGAGTGACAGACCATATGAGAGTGCCATCCCAACCAACCCTGCAGAGGGAAGGAAAAAGCCATGTGAGATTTACTGAACTTTAATGTCTTCACCATGAAGTTTTCAAGGGTTAATGTTACCTGAAGCAGAATCACCAAGAGGAAGCAAAGTCATGGCGAGTGCTGAAGCTGAGAGAACGATTGCGCAAGGGATCTCGAGTCGTTGGATCAACCACTGGCTCGCGGAGAAGGTGTGGAAGTAAGTGCTTGCATTGCTGTCAACGAGAACAAGGTTCTTTGTAAAGAACCTTTGTTCCTCCTCGAAAGCTCTGATCGTCGTGGCTCCAGCGATGGATTCAGCGAGATGGCTCACAACGGATGACTTTGTTGTCCCGTTGATCCTCATTAGCTCTTTCGCAGTGTTGAAGTAGTATCTCTGTGTTAACAAATAATAGGACTTGAAGTACACGAAATGGTCAAGAATTTTCCATAATTCAGACAAAATTTCGTAGTAAAGTACCTGTAAGACCATGATTAGATAAAGGACGGGGAAAATAATGAACAAGACAGGCCATGCTAGAGTTGCTAAAAGGGCCAAGATAGTGTATGCATTCAAAGTTGATCCCACTGATACTGTTAACTTATATGCCAGCTCAAGGTCTATGATGCTTAAGTCGGAAGAAACCTGTTGAGCCATGAAAAAGGAACTGGTTTCAGTAATGTCATGAACTTTGAAGAGACTTTCAAACTCAATGTTCATGAGTTTCTTTACCCGGCTGAGTATTCTTCCCAGAGGGGTAGAGTCATAGAAGGACATGGGTGCCCTGAACAATGAGTGGACGAGCGTGGAGAAGATCGATTCTGAAGCTTCGCAACCAAGTCTAACCATGGAGAGGGCCCTCAAGAACATGAAGAGTGGCAATGCACATCCAATGGCAGTGTAGAGACTGAACAGTGTCACTCTACTCATTCCAGGATTCTGAATATTAGCAGCCAATAGATAGCTCTGTAACAGTTGGGCGACGGTGAACACGAATTGGAAAAGGACTGACAAGAAGAAGAACGTGAACCCTTTCTTCTTGCTCAAGTAGTCCTTGTAAGGCTTGAAACCAGTGTCACCTGTTTCCCTTTCTTCCTTCTTTATCAACTGATGATCTCCTGGTGCTGCTAAATTGTGTTCTCTCTTATCAACTTGTTTTATCTCCGTGGAGGAAATTGTAGTTGCAGTCTCTCCAGTGGAACCCTGATGGCTTTTTCTCCCTTCAGTTGTTGTCTTTTTGTGTGCATTAACCAGTTCATTGAACTCTTGACAGGAATCTAGCATCTCATCGTAAGTACCGGTTCGCAAGATTTCACCTGAAGACATTAACTGCCAGAACGGACCAAATATGAAACGTTTTGAAGTAAGGAAAACAAAACCAATTTTTGTTTGTTTATTCATGTAAGTTTCAGAAGGAGCTAATTACCAGAATCAAGTTGAATGCTGGAAGGAAGTCAACTTGATGGGTCACGAGTAAAACCGTCTTCGCTGATAGAGCTTCCATCACATATTCCTGGCAGCAGAATCATTTTAGTTTCTGAGAGAGAGAGAGAGAGAGAGAGAGAGAGAGAGAGAGAGAGAGAGAGAGAGAGAGAGAGAGAGACAAAGAACATGGTAAGGAATAAGTGAAGTAAGGTTACATTGAATAGACTGGTTGCAGTATGTGCATCAACAGCACTAAATGGATCATCCAAGAGGTAAACATCTGCATCCTGATACAAAGCTCTAGCAAGTTGAATCCTTTGCTTCTGCCCTCCACTAAGGTTAACTCCTCTTTCTCCAATTTCAGTTAAGTCCCCATTTGGAAGCATTTCTATGTCCTTCACCAGGGAGCACCTCTTGACGACTTCTTGGTATCTAACCGGGTCCATGGAAGACCCAAACAAGATGTTCTCTCTTATCGTTGCAGTTTGAATCCATGCCGTTTGAGAAACATATGCTATTTTCCCATGAAGATTAATTATTCCATTGATTGTGGGAACTTCTCCAAGGACTGCAGCCAACAGTGTCGATTTCCCTGAGCCAACTTCTCCACAGATGGCCACCTTCTCGCCCGATTTCACCGCCATGTTTATGTTCCTCAATGTAGCCTTAGATTTAGTAGCCTCCATGCTCCATGAAATTTCAGTACATTGGATGAAGACGGGATTTGTGCTGCTGCTGTTGCTGTTGCCCTTTTTCCTAATGCTCCTGTGCTGCAACTCAGGCGCCACGAGAAACTTTCCTATTCGGTCCAATGAAACTTTAGCTTCTATGAACTTAGTAACCACATCAGGAAACATTCGAACTGGCTCCTGAACGATTCTCAATGTTGCCAAAAATGTGAAAACATTGCTAGCATCTAGTGGAATGCTAAGCAAGTAGCAAGCCCAGAATGTAACTGCTGAGACTATCAGTGGAATTGACCAAAACAGCATCATCATGCAACCTCTATGCAAAAGCACCATGGAAATGGAAACAAGCTCTTCTTTCCTAATTGTATCTATCACTTCCCTGAAATGGTTCTCCCAAGCATACAATTTCAACACCTTCATGTTAGCAAGAGCCTCAGTTATCGCTTTAAGCATTCTGTCCTGCTGCTGGGTGATCCTTGTTTGATAAGTAAGCTGTGATTTGGTCAAAGGGGAGCTTCCAATCACTGTTAGCACAACGGCCACTAAAGCTGCTATTGTTGCCATTCCGACGGAATAGTAGACGATGAGCAACGCGAGGAATAGCTGGAGGCCAGTAGTCCAAGTCTGATGAAACCAATATGAAAATTCTCCTATATTATATGCATCTATTGTGACATAGCTCATAATCTCACCAGGGGAATGAGTGAGCTTGGCAGCATTGGATAGAACTAGTTGCTTCTGGTAGATGGCTGCTGATAATAGAGACCTCATTCGAACCCCAACAGATCTTGTTTGGAAGTCGTATTGCCTCTCTGAGATTGACTCGATGCATTTTACTGAGAGAAGTGCCAATGTAAGAACATAGCCCTCATGTTTAAAATCTAGCTTGTGTTCAGCGACACGAATGAAAGCTTTTAGCAGCAAAGGGCCGGCGGAGAGAGCTAGTATCTTCAGCAATGCAAAGAACCCAGATAGCAGAATTTCATTCTTGTAGCAAGAAAGTAGTGTTGACCATAGTGCAGGTGGTGGCTCATTTGTTGATCCTTCTTTGACTCTCCATTTGCTTAACCTCTCCAAGTAAGTTGAGTAGCATGTTCTGGCTTGATCTTGCTCTCTGAGTAGTGGGATGTCCTCATCTTCAAGAACTTTCTCTTTGCCCTTTTTCATCAGTGGATTCAGCCACCAGAACGAAAGCTTGCTAAAGAATCCAGCTTTGGCAAAAGGGCTGACCTTTTCATCATCATAATCATTAGAATACGATGCGATTTCTTCTTCCCCAAGCAAAGGTTCATGGTAGGGCTGAGAAGTGATTTCCCTCCGGAAGGCACATGAAAGAAGCAGAACTGCCCCGGGAAAGGACAAGATATCTATCACCATTTTAGCAGACACAGCCTTCTTCTCCCCAATTATGACTTGCCAAAGAGTAGTGAAGCAGAGAAAGGCAGAGACAAGAGAGAAGGCCAAAGCTGAACAAAACTTCATGACTACTGCAACTCGGGAATTGGTTTGCTTTCTATTACCATTCAGGCATAAGCACAGATTCAGCATCAAGAGAGCCAAGCCTTGGAAGAGCAACACCATCCATCCTTTCAGCGGCAAGATACCGTTGGAGAGTTCCCATAAACCAAAACCGAAATAGATCATGCTGATCAGGCCATTGAAGATGGCAGAGGAAATCAGCAGCTTGGAGAAGGTTTGTGAGGGTGGTCCATGAGCTGTGGTGAGCTTCTTCCAGTTGCTTGCTGCTGCTGACTTGTTGCAGATGAAGATGAATGAGGTGATGAGCAGTACAAGGAGGTCTATGCAAAGTGTGATGACATGACTAAGACACGAGTTTGGATCGATTAGGTCGATGAGGGCTGACCGACATTCCTTTCCATACCCATCCCAGCATACTGAAGCTCTGCAGAACATGGCCCAGAGACCAAGCCTTCGCTCCATCATGTACATCTGTTTCAATGAAGCAGGATGAAAAGCTTGGAAACTTCTCTTTTTTCAAATCCTTAATCAGAGAGATGATGACAGTTCTTGAGCAAGAAGAGAAAGAGGAAAAAGGCGGTCAAAGAGAACTGTTCATATGGTGATATCCATGCTGAGTTTTCTAAAGCTAGTGAGAAATGATGCTTGTTCTTGAAGAAAGGATGTGTTTGATTAAAATAACAACATAAATCAAATGCACTCGAGTGGTCAGAAAGTTGTACAGAGAAAGATATCTATGGCAGAATCAAACCAAAAAGCAAGGAACGCGAAGCATGCAGAGAATAAGTGAATAACACAAGAAGAAACCTTGGTCCTTTGCTTCTTTGGTTTCTGGTATCTACTCTGTAGCTGTAAGTTCTTACTTCTTCCACAATTCATTAAATCACTATTCCCCCATCCGTTTACACGTTGAGGAAGTTCGATTCCCCTAAGAAGTGGACTAAAAGAAAATGTTTAAAATGTGAAGATGTGGACTATACAGCATATAATGATCTTGAAATCGACCATATGATGCTTTAAAAATTACACCTTTCTCTCTCAATGATGAAACATCTATAGGTTAACTCTCATCGTCATCTCCCCCACCAGATGGGATTTTTAGAACCTGATCATTCAAGAGTCTTTACTGCTATGATCATCTGAACAGGGGTCTTGCTGGTCGCCTTCTGCACCACAACAAAAAATGTAAAAGCTTAGTTTTCGATACGTGTTTCGACCGCTACGATCAACAGTATATGGAGTACAGTGGGTAGTTCAGTCTGTCAAGTAGCCTTAAGTTTGGAGGGTGAAAGATTTCTCCATTCATCCATCCTAGTACTTGGTGGAGTCAACAATATTAATATTGGCCTTTCTCACATATCAACTTCATCATTCATTTCTCTGCTCGGTACTTACTCAATACTCAGTAGTGGGGTTTTGGTGGGTGCAAAGAGGTTGTGGGGTTGTTCTTGTGTATTTAGTATCTACTCTCTTCAGTTGGTGATGGGTTTAATTAGTTGCAGATCGAAAAATGTCTGTAACGAAACTCAGCGCTCTATTCTCTTGTGGTCGTGTTATCGTTCCAGCACTTGCAAGACGCCTATGTAAAACAAGGATGTGGTTTCAACATCTGCTGCTTATTCCATGCCCTAATAAGACGTAAATGCATTGGTTTGGCAATTGATTATCAGCTTGGTCAGCGATTTCTGATTCAGAGTCATCTTGTATACTGAACTCTTCATTCAAATCATCTGAAAGACATAACTCTCATCTATATGTATCATAATTAGTAGTAGTTTCCGCCTGTGGGCGAAATAGGAGGAGATCGAATGATTTGGTAGCCATGTAAGTTCCTCACCTTCTATTGTAGCCGCGCGTGGAGCCTCTAAATCTGCACTCATGGTTATGAGAAGTTCTATCAACCCTTGCAGAGATGTAGTAAATACAATAGGATCAATCACAAAAGTCGCAACTTGACTTCCACGCAAACATTCTTTTACGTTCGGTTTATTAATGCATACACTAATAGATACAACAGAGTTCTCAACTAATAGCAAGTTCTTTGGATAACACGAAAAAATACACAACCCACAAACAATCGTTGAATGGTCTATAAAACCCTCGAGTTTCTGGACATAAGAGTGACGATTCATAATAGGTGAAAACAATTACACAATCAAGGGCATCAAGCAACAACCTGGCTGAAGAGTAGCTTGCGGATCTGCAACACACAACAAGAACAAGCAAGATTTCAGTTCGAGATTGAAAGGTTTAATCCAGATTAATCCCCACATAACAGTTCTCAACACTCATCTGAATCTATTTCAGAAGTGGAAGTGAGCAGGAACGTATCACTATACGGTTCAATTTTCAAGAATCCTAAGAGCTAGGAGGCTGGAATTATATAATGCACTTGTGCAGGAATGGCAGAGGCAGGGTATTATTAGCCGAAAACATCCTATTAGTTACTATTTCATTCCTGTAAATATTTCATAGCCATCAATTCTACTGCTTCTAAAACTCTACCAATCCTAAATCAAAAGGAAAAAAAGAACTCAACTAATCCTGATTAGTTTCTTCTACCAAGCATAAAAGTGCCAACTTTCTTTTGGAACAATGGAGAGTATAACAATAGAGAGAATAATGGTGTTCATACCACGGGGAGCTTCTGACGGAACACAACGTCCAAACGTGCATCAAGGGTATTCTCAAACACAATCTTCCCATCTCGAGAAGCCAGGACCACACCTCCAGAGCTAAGCCAGAAAACACATACAGTTTATTATTTCACATCATAAAGAAAGAATATGAGCTCTAAACTCCAGCCACAGATAGTTATCAGGATAAAGGATTGATTGATCCCCAAACAGTTAACAATATGTACACACCACTAAATAAAACCCCTACCATACTACTAGATTTAAGGTTAGCCGTAAACTTACCAAGAAAGAGCATGAACATTGTGGTGGCTAGGAGCAGGTGGCAGATAAATTTGCTGGTCCAACAAAATTTCTGGTGCATGAACCTGTGCCTTTTCAGCATATTCCTCTTTGGCGGAATCCAAGACAGATTCTACCAGATTGACATCCGCCTCCCGGCAACGCAGCAAGACAGCAGGTTCCTTCAGTCTAAGCAAGCTCTGGAGCCAGCCAAAAAAGTTGCATAACAAAATCAGAATAGGAGAAAAACTAAACACTTATATGACCCTATAGGCCATATGTGGGTGAAATTTTCTCCAGAAGCACCAAGGAAAGCAACCCCATATATGGTAATACATCAGCAACAAGATAGGTTTATGATCACATTCAATAAACATCCACAAGATGTTGATACTTCAAACAGATGAGTTATTCGTTCTAAAAACTTAACCTTTCGGTCCTAATAATCCTTTCTGATCCTCTCACATAACCTGGTACGACAGAGCAAGTACTGCTCACCTGAACTATGAGATCCTGCAGAAGCTTCTTGTACTTGTAATCATCCCGGCACACGTTCAGAAGATCCTTAGCTGCTGACTCTTTCATGGAATTGACCACATCATCTTGGGCCTGAAGAACTTTGATCCGAGAGGCATTAAGCTGCATCGAGTACTCGCTGCCAAAAGCAAATGATAAACCCATTTAACACAACTAACCCCTTATCAAATTTCAGTCAGCAAAAGTGATCACAAGCAAAGCAATTGGAAGTCAAGTAGGAACCAATTCTTAACAGAGAAAAAGAATCGTGCCATTCCTTTCTTCCATTGTTCACCAGATTCACATAGAACTCAGCAGTTCAAACTTTTCACCCAGTGTTATCAGAGCCAGAATCAAGCAGAGAAACTTACATCTTCTTGCGAACGTCGACTTGCTTCTCCTTACGCTCATACTCCTGCCTGATCTTCTTCTTCTCCGCTTCTAACAGCTGCAGCTTCTCGATGTTGAATTCCTGCAACAAAAGCAACAAAATTGAGCATTACAAAATTGAGCATTCCCAGAGCACAGATCAATCAAATCCCAAATCCCCCGGAACCCGATCGTCGGACCAGATTCCAAAACCTCGGGAATCAAAGTGAATTGCTGGAAAAAAAAAAAAGAGAAGCAGAGAATTGAAGGGCGCACCTCTTCAGCAGAGACGGAGATCTCGTTGGCCTTCTCCTCGGCTTCTTGCCGAATGAATCGGCACATCTGCTGGATCTGCTTGGGGACATCGGCGTCGTTCATGGTTGCTTCTCTCGCCGGAGTTAGTGATCGACAGAAGGGATCGGAGAGAAAGCGCCGATGGATTGGGGGACCTTCGCGATCGGAAGCGATGAGAGAGGAGAAGACTGTGTGTGGATGGAGAGTTTATAGAACCCGTGGCCGTGCGTGATCTGATTAGCAATCAGTTCTCTCTTTTCTCACAGTTTTGGGTTATTTCATTTTTTATTTTTAATCGGGTGTCATTACTCATTAGAAAAAGCGGGCCGGTCTATCAGTTTGGGCTGGATCGTAAATGAAGGCACTCGGATGGCATTTTTGTAATTTCTTGGGCGACGAAAAGCCATTTTCTTTGGATATTGAAAGCTATAGATCACGAATTCGGCCTGAGGCTATTCTCCAACGATGATTGAGTCCATTAAGCACCGATTTATCCGAAAGAGGTACCATCACAGATTTCGGGCGATTTATCCGAAATGCCATTTTTTTCCGATTCTGGAGACTACAGATCACGGAATCAGTCGGAGGCTATTCTCCACCGATAATGAAGTCTATTGATCCTATTCTCCACGGATGATAACTCCGTTAAGCATCGATTTGGGCCAATTTATTTTCGGATGGCATTTTCGTAATTTCTTGGGCGACGAAAGACCATTTTCTTTGGATATTGAAGGCTACAGATCACGGATTCGGCCTGAGGCTATTCTCCAACGATGATTGAGTCCATTAAGCACCGATTTGGGCGGATTTATTCCGGGTCAATTTTTGGCAGATTCCAAAGAGGTACCATCACAGATTTCGGGCGATTTATCCCAAATGCCATTTTCTTTCGATTCTGGAGGCTACAGATCACGGAATCAGGCGGAGGCTATTCTCCACCGATAATGAAGTCTATTGATCCTCTTCTCCACGGATGATAAGTCCGTTAAGCATCGATTTGGACCAATTTATTTTCGGATGGCATTTTCGTAATTTCTTGGGCGACGAAAGGCCATTTTCTTTGGATATTGAAGGCTACAGATCACGGATTCGGCCTGAGGCTATTCTCCAACGTTGATTGAGTCCATTAAGCACCGATTTGGGCGGATTTATTCCGGGTGAATTTTTGGCAGATTCCAAAGGGGTACCATCACAGATTTCGGGCGATTTATCCGAAATGACATTTTCTTTCGATTCTGGAGGCTACAGATCACGGAATCAGGCGGAGGCTATTCTCCACCGATAATGAAGTCTATTGATCCTATTCTCCACGGATGATAAGTCCGTTAAGCATCGATTTGGCCCAATTTATTTTCGGATGGCATTTTCGTAATTTCTTGGGCGACGAAAGGCCATTTTCTTTGGATATTGAAGGCTACAGATCACGGATTCGGCCTGAGGCTATTCTCCAACGATGATTGAGTCCATTAAGCACCGATTTGGGCGGATTTATTCCGGGTCAATTATTGGTAGATTCCAAAGGGGTACCATCACAGATTTCGGGCGATTTATCCGAAATGCCATTTTCTTTCGATTCTGGAGGCTACAGATCACGGAATCAGGCGGAGGCTATTCTCCACCGATAATGAAGTCTATTGATCCTATTCTCCACGGATGATAAGTCCGTTAAGCATCGATTTGGGCCAATTTATTTTCGGATGGCATTTTCGTAATTTCTTGGGCGACGAAAGGCCATTTTCTTTGGATATTGAAGGCTACAGATCACGGATTCGGCCTGAGGCTATTCTCCAACGATGATTGAGTCCATTAAGCACCTATTTGGGCGGATTTATTCCGGGTCAATTTTTGGTAGATTCCAAAGGGGTACCATCACAGATTTCGGGCGATTTATCCGAAATGCCATTTTCTTTCGATTCTGGAGGCTACAGATCACGGAATCAGGCGGAGGCTATTCTCCACCGATAATGAAGTCTATTGATCCTATTCTCCACAGATGATAAGTCCGTTAAGCATCGATTTGGGCCAATTTATTTTCGGATGGCATTTTCGTAATTTCTTGGGCGACGAAAGGCCATTTTCTTTGGATATTGAAGGCTACAGATCACGGATTCGGACTGAGGCTATTCTCCAACGATGATTGAGTCCATTAAGCACCGATTTGGGCGGTTTTATTCCGGGTCAATTTTTGGTAGATTCCAAAGGGGTACCATCATAGATTTCGCCGATTTATCCGAAATGCCATTTTCTTTTGATTCTGGAGGCTACAAATCACGGAATCAGACGGAGGCTATTCTCCACCGATAATGAAGTCTATTGATCCTATTCTCCACGGATGATAACTCCGTTAAGCATCGATTTGGGCCAATTTATTTTCGGATGGCATTTTCGTAATTTCTTGGGCGACGAAAGGCCATTTTCTTTGGATATTGAAGGCTACAGATCACGGATTCGGCCTGAGGCTATTCTCCAACGATGATTGAGTCCATTAAGCACCGATTTGGGCGGATTTATTCCGGGTCAATTTTTGGTAGATTCCAAAGGGGTACCATCACAGATTTCGGGCGATTTATCCGAAATGCCATTTTCTTTCGATTCTGGAGGCTACAGATCACGGAATCAGGCGGAGGCTATTCTCCACCGATAATGAAGTCTATTGATCCTATTCTCCACAGATGATAAGTCCGTTAAGCATCGATTTGGGCCAATTTATTTTCGAATGGCATTTTCGTAATTTCTTGGGCGACGAAAGGCCATTTTCTTTTTATATTGAAGGCTACAAATCACGGATTCGGCCTGAGGCTATTCTCCAACGATGATTGAGTCCATTAAGCAACGATTTTGGTGGATTTATTCCGGGTCAATTTTTGGCAGAATCCAAAGGGGTATCATCACAGATTTCGGGCGATTTATCCGAAATGCCATTTTCTTTCGATTTTGGAGGCTACAGATCACTAAATCAGGCGGAGGCTATTCTCCACCGATAATGAAGTCTATTGATCCTATTCTCCACGGATGATAAGTCCGTTAAGCATCGATTTGGGCCAATTTATTTTCGGATGGCATTTTCGTAATTTCTTGGGCGACGAAAGGCCATTTTCTTTGGATATTGAAGGCTACAGATTACGGATTCGGCCTGAGGCTATTCTCCAACGATGATTGAGTCCATTAAGCACCGGTTTGGGCGGAATTATTCCCGGTCAATTTTTGGCAGATTCCAAAGGGGTACCATCACAGATTTCAGGCGATTTATCCGAAATGCCATTTTCTTTTGATTCTGGAGGCTACAGATCACTAAATCAGGCGGAGGATATTCTCCACTGATAATGAAGTCTATTGATCCTATTCTCCACGGATGATAAGTCCGTTGAGCATCGATTTGGCCAATTTATTTTCGAATGGCATTTTCGTAATTTCTTGGGCGACGAAAGGCCATTTTCTTTGGATATTGAAGGCTACAGATCACGGATTCGGCCTGAGGCTATTCTCCAACGATGATTGAGTCCATTAAGCACTGATTTGGGCGGATTTATTCCGGGTCAATTTTTGGCAGATTCCAAAGGGGTACCACCACAGATTTCGGTCGATTTATCCGAAATGCCATTTTCTTTCGATTCTGGAGGCTACAGATCACAGAATCAGGCAGAGGCTATTCTCCATCGATAATGAAGTCTATTGATCCTATTCTCCACGGATGATAAGTCCGTTAAGCATCGATTTGCGCCAATTTATTTTCGGATGGCATTTTCGTAATTTCTTGGGCGACGAAAGGCCATTTTCTTTGGATATTGAAGGCTACAGATCACGGATTCGGCCTGAGGCTATTCTCCAACGATGATTGAGTCCATTAAGCATCGATTTGGGCGGATTTATTCCGGTTCAATTTTTGGTAGATTCCAAAGGGGTACCATCACAGATTTCGGGCGATTTATCCGAAATGCCATTTTCTTTCGATTCTGGAGGCTACAGATCACGGAATCAGGCGGAGGCTATTCTCCAACGATAATGAAGTCTATTGATCCTATTCTCCACGGATGATAAGTCCGTTAAGCATCGATTTGGGCCAATTTATTTTTGGATGGCATTTTCGTAATTTCTTGGGCGACGAAAGGCCATTTTCTTTGGATATTGAAGGCTACAGATCACGGATTCGGCCTGAGGGTATTCTCCAACGATGATTGAGTCCATTAAGCACCGATTTTGGTGGATTTATTCCGGGTCAATTTTTGGCAGATTCCAAAGGGGTACCATCACAGATTTCGGGCGATTTATCCGAAATGCCATTTTCTTTCGATTCTGGAGGCTACAGATCACGGAATCAGGCGGAGGCTATTCTCCACCGATAATGAAGTCTATTGATCCTATTCTCCACGAATGATAAGTTCGTTAAGCATCGATTTGCGCCAATTTATTTTCGGATGGCATTTTCATAATTTCTTAGGCGACGAAAGACCGTTTTCTTTGGATATTGAAGGCTACAGATCACGGATTCGGCCTGAGGCTATTCTCCAACAATGATTGAGTCCATTAAGCAGTGATTTGTGCGGATTTATTCCGGGTCAATTTTTGGCAGAATGCAAAGGGGTACCATCACAGATTTCGGGCGATTTATCCGAAATGCTATTTTCTTTCGATTCTGGAGGCTACAGATCACTGAATCAGGCGGAGGCTATTCTCTACCGATAATGAAGTCTATTTATCCTATTCTCCACGGATGATAAGTCCGTTAAGCATCGATTTGGGCCAATTTATTTTCGGATGGCATTTTCGTAATTTCTTGGGCGACGAAAGGCCATTTTCTTTGGATATTGAAGGCTACAGATCATGGATTCGGCCTGAGGCTATTCTCCAACGATGATTGAGTCCATTAAGCACCGATTTGGGCGGAATTATTCCGGGTCAATTTTTGGCAGATTCCAAAGGGGTACCATCACAGATTTCAGGCGATTTATCCGAAATGCCATTTACTTTTGATTCTGGAGGCTACAGATCACTGAATCAGGCGGAGGCTATTCTCCACCGATAATGAAGTCTATTGATCCTATTCTCCACGGATGATAAGTCCGTTAAGCATCGATTTGGGCCAATTTATTTTCGGATGGCATTTTCGTAATTTCTTGGGCGACGAAAGGCCATTTTCTTTGGATATTGAAGGCTACAGATCACGGATTCGGCCTGAGGCTATTCTCCAACGATGATTGAGTCCATTAAGCACCGATTTGGGCGGATTTATTCCGGGTCAATTTTTGGTAGATTCCAAAGGGGTACCATCAAAGATTTCGGGCGATTTATCCGAAATGCCATTTTCTTTCGATTCTGGAGACTACAGATCACGGAATCAGGCGGAGGCTATTCTCCACCGATAATGAAGTCTATTGATCCTATTCTCCACGGATGATAAGTCCGTTAAGCATCGATTTGGGCCAATTTATTTTCGGATGGCATTTTCGTAATTTCTTGGGCGACGAAAGGCCATTTTCTTTGGATATTGAAGGCTACAGATCACGGATTCGGCCTGAGGCTATTCTCCAACGATGATTGAGTCCATTAAGCACCGATTTGGGTGGATTTATTCCGGGTCAATTTTTGGCAGATTCCAAAGTGGTACCATCACAGATTTCGGGCGATTTATCCGAAATGCCATTTTCTTTCGATTCTGGAGGCTACAGATCACGGAATCAGGCGGAGGCTATTCTCCACCGATAATGAAGTCTATTGATCCTATTCTCCACGAATGATAAGTTTGTTAAGCATCGATTTGCGCCAATTTATTTTCGGATGGCATTTTCATAATTTCTTAGGCGACGAAAGACCGTTTTCTTTGGATATTGAAGGCTACAGATCACGGATTCGGCCTGAGGCTATTCTCCAACAATGATTGAGTCCATTAAGCACTGATTTGTGCGGATTTATTCCGGGTCAATTTTTGGCAGAATGCAAAGGGGTACCATTACAGATTTCGGGCGATTTATCCGAAATGCCATTTTCTTTCGATTCTGGAGGCTACAGATCACTGAATCAGGCGGAGGCTATTCTCCACCGATAATGAAGTCTATTTATCCTATTCTCCACGGATGATGAGTCCGTTAAGCATCGATTTGGGCCAATTTATTTTCGGATGGCATTTTCGTAATTTCTTGGGCGACGAAAGGCCATTTTCTTTGGATATTGAAGGCTACAGATCATGGATTCGGCCTGAGGCTATTCTCCAACGATGATTGAGTCCATTAAGCACCGATTTGGGCGGAATTATTCCGGGTCAATTTTGGGCAGATTCCAAAGGGACACCATCACAGATTTCGGGCGATTTATCCGAAATGCCATTTTCTTTTGATTCTGGAGGCTACAGATCACTGAATCAGGCGGAGGCTATTCTCCCCCGATAATGAAGTCTATTGATCCTATTCTCCACGGATGATAAGTTCGTTAAGCATCGATTTGGGCCAATTTATTTTCGGATGGCATTTTCGTAATTTCTTGGGCGACGAAAGGCCATTTTCTTTGGATATTGAAGGCTACAGATCACCGATTCGGCCTGAGGCTATTCTCCAACGATGATTGAGTCCATTAAGCACGGATTTGGGCGGATATATTCCAGGTTAATTTTTTGCAGATTCCAAAGGGGTACCATCACAGATTTCAGGCGATTTATCCGAAATGCCATTTTCTTTCGATTCTGGAAGCTACAGATCACAGAATCAGGCGGAGGCTATTCTCCACCGATAATGAAGTCTATTGAACCTATTCTCCACGGATGATAAGTCCGTTAAGCATTGATTTGGGCCAATTTATTTTCGGATGACATTTTCGTAATTTCTTGGGTGACGAAATGCCATTTTCTTTGGATATTGATGGGTACAGATCACGGATTCGGCCTGAGGCTATTCTCCAATGATGATTGAGTCCATTAAGCACCGATTTGGGATGATTTATTTCGGTTCAATTTTTGGTAGATTCCAAAGGGGTACCATCACAGATTTCGGGCGATTTATCCGAAATGCCATTTTCTTTCGATTCTAGAGGCTACAGATCACGGAATCAGGCGGAGGCTATTCTCCACCGATAATGAAGTCTATTGATCCTATTCTCCACGGATGATAAGTCCGTTAAGCATCGATTTGGCCAATTTATTTTCGGAAGGCATTTTCGTAATTTCTTGGGCGACGAAGGGCCATTTTCTTTGGATATTGAATGCTACAGATCACGGATTCGGCCTGAGGCTATTCTCCAACAATGTTTGAGTCCATTAAGCACCGATTTGGGCGGATTTATTCCGGGTCAATTTTTGGCAGAATCCAAAGGGGTACCATCATAGATTTCGGGCGATTTATCCGAAATGCCATTTTCTTTCGATTTTGGAGGCTATAGATCACGGAATCAGGCAGAGGCTATTCTCCATCGATAATGAAGTCTATTGATCCTATTCTCCACGGATGATAAGTCCGTTAAGCATCGATTTGGGCCAATTTATTTTCGGATGGCATTTTCGTAATTTCTTGGGCGACGAAAGGCCATTTTCTTTGGATATTGAAGGCTACAGATCACGGATTCGGCCTGAGGCTATTCTCCAACGATGATTGAGTCCATTAAGCACCGATTTGGGCGGATTTATTCCGGGTCAATTTTTGCAGATTCCAAAGGGGTACCATCACAGATTTCGGGCGATTTATCCGAAATGCTATTTTCTTTCGATTCTGGAGGCTACAGATCACGGAATCAGGCGGTGGCTATTCTCCACCGATAATGAAGTCTATTGATCCAATTCTCCACGGATGATAAGACCGTTAAGGATCCATTTGGGCCAATTTATTTTCGGATGGCATTTTTGTAATGTCTTGGGCGACGAAAGGCCATTTTCTTTGGATATTGAAGGCTACAGATCACGGATTCGGCCTGAGGCTATCTCCAACGATGATTGAGTCCATTAAGCACCGATTTGGGCGGTTTTATTCCGGGTCAATTATTGCCAGATTCCAAAGGGGTACCATCACAGATTCGGGCGATTTATCCGAAATGCCATTTTCTTTCGATTCTGGAGGCTACAGATCACGGACTCAGGCGGAGGCTATTCTCCACCGATAATGAAGTCTATTGATCCTATTCTCCACGGATGATAAGTTCATTAAGCATCGATTTGGGCCAATTTATTTTCGGATTGCATTTTCGTAATTTCTTGGGCGACGAAAGTCCATTTTCTTTGGATATTGAAGGCTACAGATCACGGATTCGGCCTGAGGCTATTCTCCAACGATGATTGAGTCCATTAAGCACCGATTTGGGCGGATTTATTCCGGGTCAATTTTTGCCAGATTCCAAAGGGGTACCATCACAGATTCGGGCGATTTATCCGAAATGCCATTTTCTTTCGATTCTGGAGGCTACAGATCACGGACTCAGGCGGAGGCTATTCTCCACCGATAATGAAGTCTATTGATCCAATTCTCCACGGATGATAAGTCCGTTAAGCATTGATTTGGGCCAATTTATTTTCGGATGACATTTTCGTAATTTCTAGTGTGACGAAAGGCCATTTTCTTTGGATATTGAAGGGTACATATCACGGATTCGGCCTGAGGCTATTCTCCAACGATGATTGAGTCCATTAAGCACCGATTTGGGCGGATTTATTCCGGGTCAATTTCTGGCAGATTCCAAAGGGGTACCATAACAGATTTAAGGCGATTTATCCGAAATGCCATTTTCTTTCGATTCTGGAAGCTACAGATCACGGAATCAGGCGGAGGCTGTTCTCCACCGATAATGAAGTCTATTGATCCTATTCTCCACGGATGATAAGTTCGTTAAGCATCGATTTGGGCCAATTTATTTTCGGATTGCATTTTCGTAATTTCTTGGGTGACGAAAGTCCATTTTCTTTGGATATTGAAGGCTACAGATCACGGATTCGGCCTGAGGCTATTCTCCAACGATGATTGAGTCCATTAAGCATCGATTTGGGCGGATTTATTCCGGGTCAATTTTTGGCAGATTCCAAAGGGGTACCATCACAGATTTCGGGCGATTTATCCGAAATGCCATTTTCTTTCGATTCTGGAGGATACAGATCACGGAATCAGGCGGAGGCTATTCTCCACCGATAATGAAGTCTATTGATCCTATTCTCGACGGATGATAAGTCCGTTAAGCATCGATTAGGGCCAATTTATTTTCGGATGGCATTTTCGTAATTTCTTGGGCGATGGAAAGGCAATTTACTTTGGTTATTGAAGGCTACAGATCACGGATTCGGGCTGAGGCTATTCTCCAACGATGATTGAGTCCATTAAGCACCGATTTGGGCGGATTTATTCCCGGTCAATTTTTGGCAGATTCCAAAGGGGTACCATCACAGATTTCGGGCGATTTATCCGAATTGCCATTTTCTTTCTATTCTGGAGGCTACAGATCACAGAATCAGGCGGAGGCTATTCTCCACCGATAATGAAGTCTATTGATCCTATTCTCGACGGATGATAAGTCCGTTAAGCATCGATTATGGCCAATTTATTTTCGGATGGCATTTTCGTAATTTCTTGGGCGATGGAAAGGCCATTTACTTTGGTTATTGAAGGCTACAGATCACGGATTTGGCCTGAGGCTATTCTCCAACGATGATTGAGTCCATTATGCACCGATTTGGGCGGATTTATTCCGGGTCAATTTTTGGCAGATTCCAAAGGGGTACCATCATAGATTTCAGGCGATTTATCCGAAATGCTATTTTCTTTCGATTCTGGAAGCTACAGATTACGGAATCAGGCGGAGGCTATTCTCCACCGATAATGAAGTCTATTGATCCTATTCTCCACGGATGATAAGTCCGTTAAGCATCGATTAGGGCCAATTTATTTTCGGATGGCATTTTCGTAATTTTTTGGGCGATGGAAAGGCCATTTACTTTGGTTATTGAAGGCTACAGATCACGGATTCGGCCTGAGGCTATTCTCCAACGATGATTGAGTCCATTAAGCACTAATTTGGGCAGATTTATTCCGGGTCAATTTTTGGCAGATTCCAAAGGGGTACCATCACAGATTTCGGGCGATTTATCCGAAATGCCATTTTCTTTCGATTCTGGAGGATACAGATCACGGAATCAGGCGGAGGCTATTCTCCACCGATAATGAAGTCTTTTAATCCTATTCTCGACGGATGTTAAGTCGGTTAAGGATCGATTAGGGCCAATTTATTTCCGGATGGCATTTTCGTAATTTCTTGGGCGATGGAAAGGCCATTTACTTTGGTTATTGATGGCTACAGATCACGGATTCGGCCTGAGGCTATTCTCTAACGATGATTGAGTCCATTAAGCACCGATTTCGGCAGATTTATTCCGGGTCAATTTTTGGGAGATTCCAAAGGAGTACCATCACAGATTTCGGGCGATTTATCCGAAATGCAATTTTCTTTCGATTCTGGAGGCTACAGATCACGGAATCAGGCGGAGGCTATTCTCCACCGATAATGAAGTCTATTGATCCTATTCTCCACGGATGATAAGTCCGTTAAGCATCGATTTGGGCCAATTTATTTTTGGAAGGCATTTTCGTAATTTCTGGGCGATTTATCCGAAATGCCATTTTCTTTCGATTCTGGAGGCTACATATCACGGAATCAGGCGGAGGCTATTCTCCACCGATAATGAAGTCTATTGATCCTATTCTCCACGGATGATAAGTCCGTTAAGCATCGATTTAGGCCAATTTATTTTCGGATGGCATTTATGTAATTTCTTGGGCGACGAAAGGCCATTTTCTTTGGATATTGAAGGATACAGATCACGGATTCGGCCTGAGGCTATTCTCCAACGATGATTGAGTCCATTCAGCACCGATTTGGGCGGATTTATTCCGGGTCAATTATTGGCGGATTCCAAAGGGGTACCATCACAGATTTCGGGCGATTTATCTGAAATGCCATTTTCTTTCGATTCTGGAGGCTACATATCACGGAATCAGGAGGAGGCTATTCTCCACCGATAATGAAGTCTATTGTTCCTATTCTCCACGGATGATACGTCCGTTAAGCATCGATTTGGGTCAATTTATTTTTGGATGGCATTTTCGTAATTTCTTGGGCGACGAAAGGCCATTTTCTTTGGATATTGAAGGCTACAGGCACGTATTCGGCCTGAGGCTATTCTCCAACGATGATTGAGTCCATTAAGCACCGATTTGGGCGGATATATTCCGGGTCAATTTTTGGCAGATTCCAAAGGGGTGCCATCACAGATTTCGGGCGATTTATCCGAAATGCCATTTTCTTTCGATTCTGGAGGCTACAGATCACTGAATCAGGCGGAGGCTATTCTCCACCGATAATGAAGTCTATTGATCCTATTCTCCACGAATGATAAGTCTGTTAAGCATCGATTTGGGCCATTTATTTTCGGATGGCATTTTCATAATTTCTTGTGCGACGAAAGGCCATTTTCTTTTGATATTGAAGGCTACTGATCACGGATTCGGCCTGAGGCTATTCTCCAACGATGATTGAGTCCATTAAGCAACGTTTTCGGCGGATTTATTCCGGGTCAATTTTTGGCAGATTCCCAAGGGGTTCCATCACAGATTTCGGGCGATTTATCCGAAATGCCATTTTCTTTCGATTCTGGAGGCTACAGATCACGGAATCAGGCGGAGGCTATTCTCCACCGATAATGAAGTCTATGTATCCTATTCTCCACGGATGATAAGTCTGTTAAGCATCGATTTGGGCCAATTTATTTTCGGATGACATTTTCGTAATTTCTTGGGCGACGAAAGGCCATTTTCTTTGGATATTGAAGGCTACAGATCACGGATTCGGCCTGAGGCTATTCTCCAACGATGATTGAGTCCATTAAGCACCGATTTGGGCGGATTTATTCCGGGTCAATTTTTGGCATATTTAAAAGGGGTACCATCACAGATTTCGGGCGATTTATCCAAAATGCCATTTTCTTTCGATTCTGGAGGCTATAGATCACGGAATAAGGCGGAGGCTATTCTCCACCGATAATGTAGTCTATTGATCCTATTCCCCACGGATGATAAGTCCGTTAAGCATCGATTTGGGCCAATTTATTTTCGGATGGCATTTTCGTAATTTCTTGGGCGACAAAAGGCCATTTTCTATGGATATTGAAGGCAACAGATCACGGATTCGGCCTGAGGCTATTCTCCAACGATGATTGAGTCCATTAAGCACCGATTTGGGCGGATTTATTCCGGGTCAATTTTTGGCAGATTCCCAAGGGGTACCATCACAGAATTCGGGCGATTTATCCGAAATGCCATTTTCTTTCGATTCTGGAGGCTACTGATCACGGAATCAGGCGGAGGCTATTCTCCACCGATAATGAAGTCTATTGATCCTATTCCCCACGGATGATAAGTCCGTTAAGCATCGATTTGGGCCAATTTATTTTCGGATGGCATTTTCGTAATTTCTTGGGCGACGAAAGGCCATTTTCTATGGATATTCAAGGCAACAGATCACGGATTCGGCCTGAGGCTATTCTCCAACGATGATTGAGTCCATTAAGCACCGATTTGGGCGGATTTATTCTGGGTCAATTTTTGGCAGATTCCAAAGGGGTACCATCATAGATTTCGGGCGATTTATCCGAAATGCCATTTTCTTTCGATTCTGGAGGTTACAGATCACGGAATCTGGCAGAGGCTATTCTCCACCTATAATGATAGTCTATTGATCCTATTCTCCACGGATGATAAGTCCGTTAAGCATCGATTTGGGCCAATTTATTTTCGGATGGCATTTTCGTAATTTCTTGGGCGACGAAAAGCCATTTTCTTTGGATATTGAAGGCTACAGATCACGGATTCGGCCTGAGGCTATTCTCCAACGATGATTGAGTCCATTAAGCTCCGATTTGGGCGGATTTATTCCGGTTCAATTTTTGGCAGATTCCAAAGGGATACCATCACAGATTTCGGGCGATTTATCCGAAATGCCATTTTCTTTCGATTCTGGAGGCTACAGATAAAGGAATCAGGCGGAGGCTATTCTCCACCGATAATGAAGTCTATTGATCCTATTCTCCACGGATGATAAGTCCGTTAAATATCGATTTCGGCCAATTTATTTTCGGAGGGCATTTTTGTAATTTCTTGGGCGACGAAAGGCCATTTTCTTTGGATATTGAAGGCTACAGATCACGGATTCGGCCTGAGGCTATTCTCCAACGATGATTGAGTCCATTAAGCACCGATTTGGGCGGATTTATTCCGGGTCAATTTTTGGCAGATTCCAAAGGGGTACCATCACAGATTTCGGGCGATTTATCCGAAATGCCATTTTCTTTCGATTCTGGAGGCTACAGATCACGGAATCAGGCGGAGGCTATTCTCCACCGATAATGAAGTCTATTGATCCTATTCTCCACGGATGATAAGTCCGTTAAACATCGATTTCGGCCAATTTATTTTCGGAGGGCATTTTTGTAATTTCTTGGGCTACGAAAGGCCATTTTCTTTGGATATTGAAGGCTACAGATCACGGATTCGGCCTGAGGCTATTCTCCAACGATGATTGAGTCCATTAAGCACCGATTTGGGCGGATTTATTCCGGGTCAATTTTTGGCAGATTCCAAAGGGGTACCATCACAGATTTCGGGCGATTTATCCGAAATGCCATTTTCTTTCGATTCTGGAGGCTACAGATCACGGAATCAGGCGGAGGCTATTCTCCACTGATAATGAAGTCTATTGATCCTATTCTCCACGGATGATAAGTCCGTTAAGCATCGATTTGGGCCAATTAATTTTCGGATGGCATTTTCATAATTTCTTGGGCGACGAAAAGACATTTTCTTTGGATATTGAAGGCTACAGATCACGGATTCGGCCTGAGGCTATTCTCCAACGATGATTGAGTCCATTAAGCACCGATTTGGGCGGATTTATTCCGCGTCAATTTTTGGCAGATTCCCAAGTGGTACCATCACAGAATTCGGGCGATTTATCCTAAATGCCATTTTCTTTCGATTCTGTAGGTTACAGATCACGGAATCAGGCGGAGGCTATTCTCCAACGATAATGAAGTCTATTGATCCTATTCTCCACGGATGATAAGTCCGTTAAGCATCGATTTGGGCCAATTTATTTTCGGATGGCACTTTCGTAACTTCTTGGCGACGAAAGGCCATTTTCTATGGATATTGAAGGCAACAGATCACGGATTCGGCCTGAGGCTATTCTCCAACGATGATTGAGTTCATTAAGCACCGATTTAGGCGGATTTATTCCGGGTCAATTTTTGGCAGATTCCAAAGGGGTACCATCACAGAATTCGGGCGATTTATCCGAAATGCCATTTTCTTTCGATTCTGGAGGCTACTGATCACGGAATCAGGCGGAGGCTATTCTCCACCGATAATGAAGTCTATTGATCCTATTCTCCACGGTTGATAAGTCCGTTAAACATCGATTTGGGCCAATTTATTTTCGGAGGGCATTTTTGTAACTTCTTGGGCGACGAAAGGCCATTTTCTTTGGATATTGAAGGCTACAGATCACGGATTCGGCCTGAGGCTATTCTCCAACGATGATTGAGTCCATTAAGCAACGATTTGGGTTGATTTATTCCAGGTCAATTTTTGGCAGATTCCAAAGGGGTACCATCACAGATTTCGGGCGATTTATCCGAAATGCCATTTTCTTTCGATTCTGGAGGCTACAGATCACGGAATCAGGCGGAGGCTATTCTCCACCGATAATGAAGTCTATTGATCCTATTCTCCACGGATGATAAGTCCGTTAAGCATCGATTTGTGCCAATTAATTTTCGGATGGCATTTTCGTAATTTCTTGGGCGACGAAAGGCCATTTTCTATGGATATTGAAGGCAACAGATCACGGATTCGGCCTGAGGCTATTCTCTAACGATGATTGAGTCCATTAAGCACCGATTTAGGCGGATTTATTCCGGGTCAATTTTAGTCAGATTCCAAAGGGGGTACCATCACAGATTTCGGGCGATTTATCCGAAATGCCATTTTCTTTCGATTCTGGAGGCTACAGATCACGGAATCAGGCGGAGGCTATTCTCCACCGATAATGAAGTCTATTGATCCTATTCTCCACGGATGATAAGTCCGTTAAGCATCGATTTGGGCCAATTTATTTTCGGATTGCATTTTCATAATTTCTTGGGCGACGAAAGGCTATTTTCTTTGGATATTGAAGGCTACAGATCTCGGATTGGGCCTGAGGCTATTCTACAACGATGATTGAGTCCATTAAGCACCGATTTGGGCGAATTTATTCCGGGTCAATTTTTGGCAGATTCCCAAGGGGAACCATCACAGAATTCGGGCGATTTATCCGAAATTCCATTTTCTTTCAATTCTGGAGGCTACTGATCACGGAATCAGGCGGAGGCTATTCTCCACCGATAATGAAGTCTATTGATCCTATTCCCCACGGATGATAAGTCCGTTAAGCATCGATTTGGGCCAATTTATTTTCGGATGGCATTTTCGTAATTTCTTGGGCGACGAAAGGCCATTTTCTATGGATATTCAAGGCAACAGATCACGGATTCGGCCTGAGGCTATTCTCCAACGATGATTGAGTCCATTAAGCACCGATTTGGGCGGATTTATTCTGGGTCAATTTTTGGCAGATTCCAAAGGGGTACCATCATAGATTTCGGGCGATTTATCCGAAATGCCATTTTCTTTCGATTCTGGAGGTTACAGATCACGGAATCTGGCAGAGGCTATTCTCCACCTATAATGATAGTCTATTGATCCTATTCTCCACGGATGATAAGTCCGTTAAGCATCGATTTGGGCCAATTTATTTTCGGATGGCATTTTCGTAATTTCTTGGGCGACGAAAAGCCATTTTCTTTGGATATTGAAGGCTACAGATCACGGATTCGGCCTGAGGCTATTCTCCAACGATGATTGAGTCCATTAAGCTCCGATTTGGGCGGATTTATTCCGGTTCAATTTTTGGCAGATTCCAAAGGGATACCATCACAGATTTCGGGCGATTTATCCGAAATGCCATTTTCTTTCGATTCTGGAGGATACAGATCAAGGAATCAGGCGGAGGCTATTCTCCACCGATAATGAAGTCTATTGATCCTATTCTCCACGGATGATAAGTCCGTTAAGCATCGATTTGTGCCAATTTATTTTCGGATGGCATTTTCGTAATTTCTTGGGCGACGAAAGGCCATTTTCTTTGGATATTGAAGGCTACAGATCACGGATTCGGCCTGAGGCTATTCTCCAACGATGATTGAGTCCATTAAGCACCGATTTGGGTTGATTTATTCGAGGTCAATTTTTGGCAGATTCCAAAGGGGTACCATCACAGATTTCGGGCGATTTATCCGAAATGCCATTTTCTTTCGATTCTGGAGGCTACAGATCACGGAATCAGGCGGAGGCTATTCTCCACCGATAATGAAGTCTATTGATCCTATTCTCCACGGATGATAAGTCCGTTAAGCATCGATTTGTGCCAATTTATTTTCGGATGGCATTTTCGTAATTTCTTGGGCGACGAAAGGCCATTTTCTATGGATATTGAAGGCAACAGATCACGGATTCGGCCTGAGGCTATTCTCTAACGATGATTGAGTCCATTAAGCACCGATTTAGGCGGATTTATTCCGTGTCAATTTTAGTCAGATTCCAAAGGGGGTACCATCACAGATTTCGGGCGATTTATCCGAAATGCCATTTTCTTTCGATTCTGGAGGCTAGAGATCACGGAATCAGGCGGAGGCTATTCTCCACCGATAATGAAGTCTATTGATCCTATTCTCCACGGATGATAAGTCCGTTAAGCATCGATTTGGGCCAATTTATTTTCGGATGGCATTTTCATAATTTCTTGGGCGACGAAAGGCCATTTTCTTTGGATATTGAAGGCTACAGATCTCGGATTGGGCCTGAGGCTATTCTACAACGATGATTGAGTCCATTAAGCACCGATTTGGGCGAATTTATTCCGGGTCAATTTTTGGCAGATTCCCAAGGGGAACCATCACAGAATTCGGGCGATTTATCCGAAATGCCATTTTCTTTCAATTCTGGAGGCTACTGATCACGGAATCAGGCGGAGGCTATTCTCCACCGATAATGAAGTCTATTGATCCTATTCCCCACGGATGATAAGTCCGTTAAGCATCGATTTGGGCCAATTTATTTTCGGATGGCATTTTCGTAATTTCTTGGGCGACGAAAGGCCATTTTCTATGGATATTCAAGGCAACAGATCACGGATTCGGCCTGAGGCTATTCTCCAACGATGATTGAGTCCATTAAGCACCGATTTGGGCGGATTTATTCTGGGTCAATTTTTGGCAGATTCCAAAGGGGTACCATCATAGATTTCGGGCGATTTATCCGAAATGCCATTTTCTTTCGATTCTGGAGGTTACAGATCACGGAATCTGGCAGAGGCTATTCTCCACCTATAATGATAGTCTATTGATCCTATTCTCCACGGATGATAAGTCCGTTAAGCATCGATTTGGGCCAATTTATTTTCGGATGGCATTTTCGTAATTTCTTGGGCGACGAAAAGCCATTTTCTTTGGATATTGAAGGCTACAGATCACGGATTCGGCCTGAGGCTATTCTCCAACGATGATTGAGTCCATTAAGCTCCGATTTGGGCGGATTTATTCCGGTTCAATTTTTGGCAGATTCCAAAGGGATACCATCACAGATTTCGGGCGATTTATCCGAAATGCCATTTTCTTTCGATTCTGGAGGCTACAGATCAAGGAATCAGGCGGAGGCTATTCTCCACCGATAATGAAGTCTATTGATCCTATTCTCCACGGATGATAAGTTCGTTAAACATCGATTTCGGCCAATTTATTTTCGGAGGGCATTTTTGTAATTTCTTGGGCGACGAAAGGCCATTTTCTTTGGATATTGAAGGCTACAGATCACGGATTCGGCCTGAGGCTATTCTCTAACGATGATTGAGTCCATTAAGCACCGATTTGGGCGGATTTATTCCGGGTCAATTTTTGGCAGATTCTAAAGGGGTACCATCACAGATTTCGGGCGATTTATCCGAAATGCCATTTTCTTTCGATTCTGGAGGCTACAGATCACGGAATCAGACGGAGGCTATTCTCCACCGATAATGAAGTCTATTGATCCTATTCTCCACGGATGATAAGTCTGTTAAGCATCGATTTGGGCCAATTTATTTTCGGATGGCATTTTCGTAATTTCTTGTGCGACGAAAGGCCATTTTCTTTGGATATTGAAGGCTACAGATCACGGATCCGGCCTGAGGCTATTCTCCAACGATGATTGAGACCATTAAGCACCGATTTGGGCTGATTTATTCCAGGTCAATTTTTGGCAGATACCAAAGGGGTACCATAATAGATTTCGGGTGATTTATCCGAAATGCCATTTTCTTTTGATTCTGGAGGCTACAGATCACGGAATCAGGCAGAGGCTATTCTCCAACGATAATGAAGTCTATTGATCCTATTCTCCACGGATGATAAGTCCGTTAAGCATCGATTTGGGCCAATTTATTTTCGGAGGGCATTTTTGTAATTTCTTGGGCGACGAAAGGCCATTTTCTTTGGATATTGAAGGCTACAGATCACGGATTCGGCCTGAGGCTATTCTCCAACGATGATTGAGTCCATTAAGCACCGATTTGGGTTGATTTATTCCAGGTCAATTTTTGGCAGATTCCAAAGGGGTACCATCACAGATTTCGGGCGATTTATCCGAAATGCCATTTTCTTTCGATTCTGGAGGCTACAGATCACGGAATCAGGCGGAGGCTATTCTCCACCGATAATGAAGTCAATTGATCCTATTCTCCACGGATGATAAGTCCGTTAAGCATCGATTTGTGCCAATTTATTTTCGGATGGCATTTTCGTAATTTCTTGGGCGACGAAAGGCCATTTTCTATGGATATTGAAGGCAACAGATGACGGATTCGGCCTGAGGCTATTCTCTAACGATGATTGAGTCCATTAAGCACCGATTAGGCGGATTTATTCCGGGTCAATTTTAGTCAGATTCCAAAGGGGGTACCATCACAGATTTCGGGCGATTTATCCGAAATGCCATTTTCTTTCGATTCTGGAGGCTACAGATCACGGAATCAGGCGGAGGCTATTCTCCACCGATAATGAAGTCTATTGATCCTATTCTCCACGGATGATAAGTCCGTTAAGCATCGATTTGGGCCAATTTAATTTCGGATGGCATTTTCATAATTTCTTGGGCGACGAAAGGCCATTTTCTTTGGATATTGAAGGCTACAGATCTCGGATTGGGCCTGAGGCTATTCTACAACGATGATTGAGTCCATTAAGCACCGATTTGGGCGAATTTATTCCGGGTCAATTTTTGGCAGATTCCCAAGGGGAACCATCACAGAATTCGGGCGATTTATCCGAAATGCCATTTTCTTTCAATTCTGGAGGCTACTGATCACGGAATCAGGCGGAGGCTATTCTCCACCGATAATGAAGTCTATTGATCCTATTCCCCACGGATGATAAGTCCGTTAAGCATCGATTTGGGCCAATTTATTTTCGGATGGCATTTTCGTAATTTCTTGGGCGACGAAAGGCCATTTTCTATGGATATTGGAGGCTACTGATCACGGAATCAGGCGGAGGCTATTCTCCACCGATAATGAAGTCTATTGATCCTATTCTCCACGGATGATAAGTTCGTTAAGCATCGATTTGGGCCAATTTATTTTCGGATGGCATTTTCATAATTTCTTGGGCGACGAAAGGCCATTTTCTTTGGATATTGAAGGCTACAGATCACGGATTCGGCCTGAGGCTATTCTCCAACGATGATTGAGTCCATTAAGCACCGATTTGGGCGGATTTATTCCGGGTCAATTTTTGGCAGATTCCCAAGGGGTACCATCACAGAATTCGGGCGATTTATCGGAAATGCCATTTTCTTTCGATTCTGGAGGCTTCTGATCACGGAATCAGGCGGAGGCTATTCTCCACCGATAATGAAGTCTATTGATCCTATTCCCCACGGAAGATAAGTCCGTTAAGCATCGATTTGGGCAAATTTATTTTCGGATGGCATTTTCGTAATTTCTTGGGCGACGAAAGGCCATTTTCTATGGATATTGAAGGCAACAGATCACGGATTCGGCCTGAGGCTATTCTCCAACGATGATTGAGTCCATTAAGCACCGATTTAGGCGGATTTATTCCGGGTCAATTTTTGGCAGATTCCAAAGGGGTACCATCACAGATTTCGGGCGATTTATCCGAAATGCCATTTTCTTTCGATTCTGGAGGCTACAGATCAAGGAATCAGGCGGAGGCTATTCTCCACCGATAATGAAGTCTATTGATCCTATTCTCCACGGATGATAAGTTCGTTAAACATCGATTTGGGTCAATTTATTTTCGGAGGGCATTTTTGTAATTTCTTGGGCGACGAAAGGCCATTTTCTTTGGATATTGAAGGCTACAGATCACGGATTCGGCCTGAGGCTATTCTCCAACGATGATTGAGTCCATTAAGCACCGATTTGGGCGGATTTATTCCGGGTCAATTTTTGGCAGATTCCAAAGGGGTACCATCACAGATTTCGGGCGATTTATCCGAAATGCCATTTTCTTTCGATTCTGGAGGCTACAGATCACGGAATCAGGCGGAGGCTATTCTCCACCGATAATGAAGTCTATTGATCCTATTCTCCACGGATGATAAGTTTATTAAGCATCGATTTGGGCCAATTTATTTTCGGATGGCATTTTCGTAATTTCTTGTGCGACGAAAGGCCATTTTCTTTGGATAGTGAAGGCTACAGATCACGGATCCGGCCTGAGGCTATTCTCCAACGATGATTGAGACCATTAAGCACCGAATTGGGCAGATTTATTCCAGGTCAATTTTTGGCAGATACCAAAGGGGTACCATCATAGATTTCGGGCGATTTATCCGAAATGCCATTTTCTTTCGATTCTGGAGGCTACAGATCACGGAATCAGGCAGAGGCTATTCTCCACCGATAATGAAGTCTATTGATCCTATTCTCCACGGATGATAAGTCCGTTAAGCATCGATTTGGGCCAATTTATTTTCGGATGGCATTTTCATAATTTCTTGGGCGACGAAAGGCCATTTTTTTTGGATATTGAAGGCTACAGATCTCGGATTCGGCCTGAGGCTATTCTCCAACGATGATTGAGTCCATTAAGCACCGATTTGGGCGGATTTATTGCGGCTTAATTTTTGGCAGATTCCCAAGGGGTACCATCACAGAATTCGGGCGATTTATCCGAAATGCCATTTTCTTTCGATTCTGGAGGCTAGTGATCACGGAATCAGGCGGAGGCTATTCTCCACCGATAATGAAGTCTATTGATCCTATTCCCCACGGAAGATAAGTCCGTTAAGCATCGATTTGGGCAAATTTATTTTCGGATGGCATTTTCGTAATTTCTTGGGCGACGAAAGGCCATTTTCTATGGATATTGAAGGCAACAGATCACGGATTCGGCCTGAGGCTATTCTCCAACGATGATTGAGTCCATTAAGCACCGATTTAGGCGGATTTATTCCGGGTCAATTTTTGGCAGATTCCAAAGGGGTACCATCACAGATTTCGGGCGATTTATCCGAAATGCCATTTTCTTTCGATTCTGGAGGCTACAGATCAAGGAATCAGGCGGAGGCTATTCTCCACCGATAATGAAGTCTATTGATCCTATTCTCCACGGATGATAAGTTCGTTAAACATCGATTTGGGTCAATTTATTTTCGGAGGGCATTTTTGTAATTTCTTGGGCGACGAAAGGCCATTTTCTTTGGATATTGAAGGCTACAGGTCACGGATTCGGCCTGAGGCTATTCTCCAACGATGATTGAGTCCATTAAGCACCGATTTGGGCGGATTTATTCCGGGTCAATTTTTGGCAGATTCCAAAGGGGTACCATCACAGATTTCGGGCGATTTATCCGAAATGCCATTTTCTTTCGATTCTGGAGGCTACAGATCACTGAATAAGGCGGAGGCTATTCTCCACCGATAATGAAGTCTATTGATTCTATTCTCCACGGATGATAAGTCTATTAAGCATCGATTTGGGCCAATTTTTTTCGGATGGCATTTTCGTAATTTCTTGTGCGACGAAATGCCATTTTCTTTGGATAGTGAAGGCTACAGATCACGGATCCGGCCTGAGGCTATTCTCCAACGATGATTGAGACCATTAAGCACCGAATTGGGCAGATTTATTCCAGGTCAATTTTTGGCAGATACCAAAGGGGTATCATCATAGATTTCGGGCGATTTATCCGAAATGCCATTTTCTTTCGATTCTGGAGGCTACAGATCACGGAATCAGGCAGAGGCTATTCTCCACCGATAATGAAGTCTATTGATCCTATTCTCCACGGATGATAAGTCCGTTAACCATCGATTTGGGCCAATTTATTTTCGGATGGCATTTTCATAATTTCTTGGGCGACGAAAGGCCATTTTCTTTGGATATTGAAGGCTACAGATCACGGATTCGGCCTGAGGCTATTCTCCAACGATGATTGAGTCCATTAAGCACCGATTTGGGCGGATTTATTCCGGGTCAATTTTTGGCAGATTCCCAAGGGGTACCATCACAGAATTCGGGCGATTTATCCGAAATGCCATTTTCTTTCGATTCTGGAGGCTTCTGATCACGGAATCAGGCGGAGGCTATTCTCCACCGATAATGAAGTCTATTGATCCTATTCCCCACGGAAGATAAGTCCGTTAAGCATCGATTTGGGCAAATTTATTTTCGGATGGCATTTTGTAATTTCTTGGGCGACGAAAGGCCATTTTCTATGGATATTGAAGGCAACAGATCACGGATTCGGCCTGAGGCTATTCTCCAACGATGATTGAGTCCATTAAACACCGATTTAGGCGGATTTATTCCGGGTCAATTTTTGGCAGATTCCAAAGGGGTACCATCACAGATTTCGGGCGATTTATCCGAAATGCCATTTTCTTTCGATTCTGGAGGCTACAGATCAAGGAATCAGGCGGAGGCTATTCTCCACCGATAATGAAGTCTATTGATCCTATTCTCCACGGATGATAAGTTCGTTAAACATCGATTTGGGTCAATTTATTTTCGGAGGGAATTTTTGTAATTTCTTGGGCGACGAAAGGCCATTTTCTTTGGATATTGAAGGCTACAGATCACGGAGTCGGCCTGAGGCTATTCTCCAACGATGATTGAGTCCATTAAGCACCGATTTGGGCGGATTTATTCCGGGTCAATTTTTGGCAGATTCCAAAGGGGTACCATCACAGATTTCGGGCGATTTATCCGAAATGCCATTTTCTTTCGATTCTGGAGGCTACAGATCATGGAATCAGGCGGAGGCTATTCTCCACCAATAATGAAGTCTATTGATCCTATTCTCCACGGATGATAAGTTTATTAAGCATCGATTTGGGCCAATTTATTTTCGGATGGCATTTTCGTAATTTCTTGTGCGACGAAAGGCCATTTTCTTTGGATAGTGAAGGCTACAGATCACGGATCCGGCCTGAGGCTATTCTCCAACGATGATTGAGACCATTAAGCACCGAATTGGGCAGATTTATTCCAGGTCAATTTTTGGCAGATACCAAAGGGGTACCATCATAGATTTCGGGCGATTTATCCGAAATGCCATTTTCTTTCGATTCTGGAGGCTACAGATCACGGAATCATGCAGAGGCTATTCTCCACCGATAATGAAGTCTATTGATCCTATTCTCCACGGATGATAAGTCCGTTAAGCATCGATTTGGGCCAATTTATTTTCGGATGGCATTTTCATAATTTCTTGGGCGACGAAAGGCCATTTTCTTTGGATATTGAAGGTTACAGATCTCGGATTCGGCCTGAGGCTATTCTCCAACGATGATTGAGTCCATTAAGCACCGATTTGGGCGGATTTATTCCGGGTTAATTTTTGGCAGATTCCCAAGGGGTACCATCACAGAATTCGGGCGATTTATCCGAAATGCCATTTTCTTTCGATTCTGGAGGCTACTGATCACGGAATCAGGCGGAGGCTATTCTCCACCGATAATGAAGTCTATTGATCCTATTCCCCACGGAAGATAAGTCCGTTAAGCATCGATTTGGGCAAATTTATTTTCGGATGGCATTTTCGTAATTTCTTGGGCGACGAAAGGCCATTTTCTTTGGATATTGAAGGCTACAGATCACGGATTCGGCCTGAGGCTATTCTCCAACGATGATTGAGTCCATTAAGCACCGATTTGGTCGGATTTATTCCGGGTCAATTTTTGGCAGATTCCAAAGGGGTACCATCACAGATTTCGGGCGATTTATCCGAAATGCCATTTTCTTTCGATTCTGGAGGCTACAGATCACGGAATCAGGCGGAGGCTATTCTCCACCGATAATGAAGTCTATTGATCCTATTCTCCACGGATGATAAGTCTATTAAGCATCAATTTGGGCCAATTTTTTTTCGGATGGCATTTTCGTAATTTCTTGTGCGACGAAATGCCATTTTCTTTGGATAGTGAAGGCTACAGATCACGGATCCGGCCTGAGGCTATTCTCCAACGATGATTGAGACCATTAAGCACCGAATTTGGCAGATTTATTCCAGGTCAATTTTTGGCAGATACCAAAGGGGTATCATCTTAGATTTCGGGCGATTTATCCGAAATGCCATTTTCTTTCGATTCTGGAGGCTACAGATCACGGAATCAGGCAGAGGCTATTCTCCACCGATAATGAAGTCTATTGATCCTATTCTCCACGGATGATAAGTCCGTTAAGCATCGATTTGGGCCAATTTATTTTCGGATGGCATTTTCATAATTTCTTGGGCGACGAAAGGCCATTTTCTTTGGATATTGAAGGCTACAGATCTCGGATTCGGCCTGAGGCTATTCTCCAACGATGATTGAGTCCATTAAGCACCGATTTGGGCGGATTTATTCCGGGTTAATTTTTGGCAGATTCCCAAGGGGTACCATCACAGAATTCGGGCGATTTATCCGAAATGCCATTTTCTTTCGATTCTGGAGGCTACTGATCACGGAATCAGGCGGAGGCTATTCTCCACCGATAATGAAGTCTATTGATCCTATTCTCCACGGATGATAAGTTTGTTAAGCATCGATTTGGGCCAATTTATTTTCGGATGGCATTTTCATAATTTCTTGGGCGACGAAAGGCCATTAATTTTGGTTATTGAAGGCTACAGATCACGGATTCGGCCTGAGGCTATTCTCCAACGATGATTGAGTCCATTAAGCACCGATTTAGGCGGATTTATTCCGGGTCAATTTTTGGCAGATTCCAAAGGGGTACCATCACAGATTTCGGGCGATTTATCCGAAATGCCATTTTCTTTCTATTCTGGAGGCTACAGATCACGGAATTAGGCGGAGGCTATTCTCCACCGATAATGAAGTCTATTGATCCTTTTCACCACGGATGATAAGTCCGTTGAGCATCGATTTGGGTCAATTTATTTTCGGATGGCATTTTCGTAATTTCTTGGGCGACGAAAGGCCATTTTCTTTGGATATTGAAGGCTACAGATCATGGATTCGGCCTGAGGCTATTCTCCAACTATGATTGAGTCCATTAAGCACCGATTTGGGCGAATTTATTCTGGGTCAATTTTTGGCAGATTCCAAAGGGGTACCATCATAGATTTCGGGCGATTTATCCGAAATGCCATTTTCTTTCGATTCTTGAGGTTACAGATCACGGAATCAGGCGGAGGCTATTCTCCACCGATAATGAAGTCTATTGATCCTATTCTCCACGGATGATAAGTCCGTTAAGCATCGATTTGGGCCAATTTATTTTCGGATGGCAATTTCGTAATTTCTTGGGCGACGAAAGGCCATTTTCTTTGGATATTGAAGGCTACAGATCACGGATTCGGCCTGAGGCTATTCTCCAACGATGATTGAGTCCATTAAGCACCGATTTGGGCGGATTTATTCCCGGTCAATTTTTGGCAGATTCTAAAGGGGGTATCATCACATATTTCGGGCGATTTATCCGAAATGCCATTTTCTTTCGATTCTGGAGGCTACAGATCACGGAATCAGGCGGAGGCTATTCTCCACCGATAATGAAGTCTATTGACCCTATTCTCCACGGATGATAAGTCCGTTAAGCATCGATTTGGGCCAATTTATTTTTGGATGGCATTTTCGTAATTTCTTGGGCGACGAAAGGCCATTTTCTTTGGATATTGAAGGCTACCGATCACGGATTCGGCTTGAGGCTATTCCCCAAAGATGATTGAGTCCATTAAGCACCGATTTGGGCGGATTTATTCCGGGTCAATTTTTGGCAGATTCCAAAGGGGTACCATCACAGATTTCGGGCGATTTATCCGAAATGCCATTTTCTTTCGATTCTGGAGGCTACAGATCACGGAATCAGGCAGAGGCTATTCTCCACCGATAATGAAGTCTATTGATCCTATTCTCCACGGATGATAAGTCCGTTAAGCATCGATTTGGGCCAATTAATTTTCGGATGGCATTTTCATAATTTCTTGGGCGACGAAAGGCCATTTTCTTTGGATATTGAAGGCTACAAATCACGGATTCGGCCTGAGGCTATTCTCCAACTATGATTGAGTCCATTAAGCACCGATTTTGGCGAATTTATTCTGGGTCAATTTTTGGCAGATTCCAAAGGAGTACCATCATAGATTTCGGGCGATTTATCCGAAATACCATTTTCTTTCGATTCTGGAGGTTACAGATCACGGAATCAGGCGGAGGCTATTCTCCACCGATAATGAAGTCTATTGATCCTATTCTCCACGGATGATAAGTCCGTTAAGCATCGATTTGGGCCAATTTATTTTCGGATGGCAATTTCGTAATTTCTTGGGCGACGAAAGGCCATTTTCTTTGGATATTGAAGGCTACAGATCACGGATTCGGCCTGAGGCTATTCTCCAACGATGATTGAGTCCATTAAGCACCGATTTCGGCGGATTTATTCCAGGTCAATTTTTTGCAGATTCCAAAGGGGTACCATCACAGATTTCGGGCGATTTATCCGAAATGCCATTTTCTTTCGATTTTGGAGGCTACAGATCACGGAATCAGGCGGAGGCTATTCTCCACCGATAATGAAGTCTATTGATCCTAATCTCCACGGATGATAAGTCCGTTAAGCATCGATTTGGGCCAATTTATTTTCGGATGGCAAATCCGTAATTTCTTGGGCGACGAAAGGCCATTTTCTTTGGATATTGAAGGCTACAGATCACGGATTCGGCCTGAGGCTATTCTCCAACGATGATTGAGTCCATTAAGCACCGATTTGGGCGGATTTATTCCCGGTCAATTTTTGGCAGATTCTAAAGGGGGTATCATCACATATTTCGGGCGATTTATCCGAAATGCCATTTTCTTTCGATTCTGGAGGCTACAGATCACGGAATCAGGCGGAGGCTATTCTCCACCGATAATGAAGTCTATTGACCCTATTCTCCACGGATGATAAGTCCGTTAAGCATCGATTTGGGCCAATTTATTTTTGGATGGCATTTTCGAAATTTCTTGGGCGACGAAAGGCCATTTTCTTTGGATATTGAAGGCTACCGATCACGGATTCGGCTTGAGGCTATTCCCCAAAGATGATTGAGTCCATTAAGCACCGATTTGGGCGGATTTATTCCGGGTCAATTTTTGGCAGATTCCAAAGGGGTACCATCACAGATTTCGGGCGATTTATCCGAAATGCCATTTTCTTTCGATTCTGGAGGCTACAGATCACGGAATCAGGCAGAGGCTATTCTCCACCGATAATGAAGTCTATTGATCCTATTCTCCACGGATGATAAGTCCGTTAAGCATCGATTTGGGCCAATTAATTTTCGGATGGCATTTTCATAATTTCTTGGGCGACGAAAGGCCATTTTCTTTGGATATTGAAGGCTACAGATCTCGGATTCGGCCTGAGGCTATTCTCCAACGATGATTGAGTCCATTAAGCACCTATTTGGGCGGATTTATTCCGGGTCAATTTTTGGCAGATTCCCAAGGGGTACCATCACAGAATTCGGGCGATTTATCCGAAATGCCATTTTCTTTCGATTCTGGAGGCTACTGATCACGGAATCAGGCGGAGGCTATTCTCCACCGATAATGAAGTCTATTGATCCTATTCTCCACGGATGATAAGTCCGTTAAGCATCGATTTGGGCCAATTTATTTTCGGATGGCATTTTCATAATTTCTTGGGCAACGAAAGGCCATTTTCTTTGGATATTGAAGGCTACAGATCTCGGATTCGGCCTGAGGCTATTCTCCAACGACGATTGAGTCCATTAAGCACCTATTTGGGTTGATTTATTCCGGGTCAATTTTTGGCAGATTCCCAAGGGGTACCATCACAGAATTCAGGCGATTTATCCGAAATGCCATTTTCTTTCGATTCTGGAGGCTACTGATCACGGAATCAGGCGGAGACTATTCTCCACCGATAATTAAGTCTATTGATCCTATTCCCCACGGATGATAAGTCCGTTAAGCATCGATTTGGGCCAATTTATTTTCGGATGGCATTTTCGTAATTTCTTGGGCGACGAATGGCCATTTTCTATGGATATTGAAGGCAACAGATCACGGATTCGGCCTGAGGCTATTCTCCAACGATGATTGAGTCCATTAAGCACCGATTTTGGCGGATTTATTCCGGGTCAATTTTTGGCAGATTCCAAAGGGGTACCATCACAGATTTCGGGCGATTTATCCGAAATGCCATTTTCTTTCTATTCTGGAGGCTACAGATCACGGAATCAGGCGGAGGCTATTCTCCACCGATAATGAAGTCTATTGATCCTTTTCTCCACGGATGATAAGTCCGTTAAGCATCGATTTGGGTCAATTTATTTTTGGATGGCATTTTCGTAATTTCTTGGGCGTCGAAAGGCCATTTTCTTTGGATATTGAAGGCTACAGATCACGGATTCGGCCTGAGGCTATTCTCCAACTATGATTGAGTCCATTAAGCACCGATTTGGGCGGATTTATTCTAGGTCAATTTTTAGCAGATTCCAAAGGGGTACCATCATAGATTTCGGGCGATTTATCCGAAATGCCATTTTCTTTCGATTCTGAAGGTTACAGATCACGGAATCAGGCGGAGGCTATTCTCCACCGACAATGAAGTCTATTGATCCTATTCTCCACGGATGATAAGTCCGTTAAGCATCGATTTGGGCCAATTTATTTTCGGATGGCATTTTCGTAATTTCTTGGGCGACGAAAAGCCATATTCTTTGGATATTGAAGGCTACAGATCACGGATTCGGCCTGAGGCTATTCTCCAACGATGATTGAGTCCATTAAGCTCCGATTTGGGCGGATTTATTCCTGTTCAATTTTTGGCAGATTCCAAAGGGGTACCATCACAGATTTCGGGCGATTTATCTGAAATGCCATTTTCTTTCGATTATGGAGGCTACAGATCAAGGAATCAGGCGGAGTTTATTCTTCACCGATAATGAAGTCTATTGATCCTATTCTCCACGGATGATAAGTCCGTTAAGCATCGATTTGGGCCAATTTATTTTCGGATGCCATTTTCGTAATTTCTTGGGCGACGAAAGGCCATTTTCTTTGGATATTGAAGGCTACAGATCACGGATTCGGCCTGAGGCTATTCTCCAACGATGATTTAGTCCATTAAGCACCGATTTGGGCGGATTTATTCCGGGTCAATTTTTGCCAGATTCCAAAGGGGTATCATCACATATTTCGGGCGATTTATCCGAAATGCCATTTTCTTTCGATTCTGGAGGTTACAGATCACGGAATCAGGCGGAGGCTATTCTCCACCGATAATGAAGTCTATTGATCCTATTCTCCACGGATGATAAGTCCGTTAAGCATCGATTTGGGCCAATTTATTTTCGGATGGCAATTTCGTAATTTCTTGGGCGACGAAAGGCCATTTTCTTTGGATATTGAAGGCTACAGATCACGGATTCGGCCTGAGGCTATTCTCCAACGATGATTGAGTCCATTAAGCACCGATTTGGGCGGATTTATTCCGGGTCAATTTTTGGCAGATTCCAAAGGGGTACCATCACAGATTTCGGGCGATTTATCCGAAATGCCATTTTCTTTCGATTCTGGAGGCTACAGATCACGGAATCAGGCGGAGGCTATTCTCCACCGATAATGAAGTCTATTGATCCTATTCTCCACGGATGATAAGTCCGATAAGCATCGATTTGGGCCAATTTATTTTCGGATGGCAATTTCGTAATTTCTTGGGCGACGAAAGGCCATTTTCTTTGGATATTGAAGGCTACAGATCACGGATTCGGCCTGAGGCTATTCTCCAACGATGATTGAGTCCATTAAGCACCGATTTGGACGGATTTATTCTGGGTCAATTTTTTGCAGATTCCAAAGGGGTACCATCACAGATTTCGGGCGATTTATCCGAAATGCCATTTTCTTTCGATTCTGGAGGCTACAGATCACGGAATCAGGCGGAGGCTATTCTCCACCGATAATGAAGTCTATTGATCCTAATCTCCACGGATGATAAGTCCGTTAAGCATCGATTTGGGCCAATTTATTTTCGGATGGCAATTTCGTAATTTCTTGGGCGACGAAAGGCCATTTTCTTTGGATATTTAAGGCTACATATCACGGATTCGGCCTGAGGCTATTCTCCAACGATGATTGAGTCCATTAAGCACCGATTTGGGCGAATTTATTCTGGGTCAATTTTTGGCAGATTCCAAAGGGGTACCATCATAGATTTCGGGCGATTTATCGGAAATGCCATTTTCTTTCGATTCCGGAGGCTACTGATCACGGAATCAGGCGGAGGCTATTCTCCACCGATAATGAAGTCTATTGATCCTATTCCCCACGGATGATAAGTCCGTTAAGCATCGATTTGGGCCAATTTATTTTCGGATGGCATTTTCGTAATTTCTTGGGCGACGAAAGGCCATTTTCTATGGATATTGAAGGCAACAGATCACGGATTCGGCCTGAGGCTATTCTCCAACGATGATTGAGTCCATTAAGCACCGATTTAGGCGGATTTATTCCGGGTCAATTTTTGGCAGATTCCAAAGGGGTACCATCACAGATTTCGGGCGATTTATCCGAAATGCCATTTTCTTTCTATTCTGGAGGCTACAGATCACGGAATCAGGCGGAGGCTATTCTCCACCGATAATGAAGTCTATTGATCCTTTTCTCCACGGATGATAAGTCCGTTAAGCATCGATTTGGGTCAATTTATTTTCGGATGGCATTTTCGTAATTTCTTGGGCGTCGAAAGGCCATTTTCTTTGGATATTGAAGGCTACAGATCACGGATTCGGCCTGAGGCTATTCTCCAACTATGATTGAGTCCATTAAGCACCGATTTGGGCGGATTTATTCTATGTCAATTTTTAGCAGATTCCAAAGGGGTACCATCATAGATTTCGGGCGATTTATCCGAAATGCCATTTTCTTTCGATTCTAAAGGTTACATATCACGGAATCAGGCGGAGGCTATTCTCCACCGATAATGAAGTCTATTGATCCTATTCTCCACGGATGATAAATCCGTTAAGCATCGATTTGGGCCAATTTATTTTCGGATGACATTTTCGTAATTTCTTGGGCGACGAAAAGCCATATTCTTTGGATATTGAAGGCTACAGATCACGGATTCGGCCTGAGGCTATTCTCCAACGATGATTGAGTCCATTAAGCACCGATTTGGGCGGATTTATTCCGGGTCAATTTTTGGCAGATTCCAAAGGGGTACCATCACAGATTTCGGGCGATTTATCTGAAATGCCATTTTCTTTCAATTATGGAGGCTACAGATCAAGGAATCAGGCGGAGGTTATTCTCCACCGATAATGAAGTCTATTGATCCTATTCTCCACGGATGATAAGTCCGTTAAGCATCGATTTGGGCCAATTTATTTTCGGATGGCATTTTCATAATTTCTTGGGCGACGAAAGGCCATTTTCTTTGGATATTGAAGGCTACAGATCACGGATTCGGCCTGAGGCTATTCTCCAACGATGATTGAGTCCATTAAGCACCGATTTGGGCGGATTTATTCCGGGTCAATTTTTGGCAGATTCCCAAGGGGTACCATCACAGAATTCGGGCGATTTATCCGAAATGCCATTTTCTTTCGATTCTGGAGGCTACTGATCACAGAATCAGGCGGAGGCTATTCTCCACCAATAATGAAGTCTATTGATCCTATTCCCCACGGAATGATAAGTCTGTTAAGCATCGATTTGGGTCAATTTATTTTCGGATAGCAATTTCGTAATTTCTTGGGCGACGAAAGGCCATTTTCTTTGGATATTGAAGGCTACAGATCACGGATTCGGCCTGAGGCTATTCTCCAACTATGATTGAGTCCATTAAGCACCGATTTGGGCGAATTTATTCTGGGTCAATTTTTGGCATATTCCAAAGGGGTACCATCATAGATTTCGGGCGATTTATCCGAAATGCCATTTTCTTTCGATTCTGGAGGTTACAGATCACGGAATCAGGCAGAGGCTATTCTCCACCGATAATGAAGTCTATTGATCCTATTCTCCACGGATGATAAGTCCGTTAAGCATCGATTTGGGCCAATTTATTTTCGGATGGCAATTTCGTAATTTCTTGGGCGACGAAAGGACATTTTCTTTGGATATTGAAGGCTACAGATCACGGATTCGGCCTGAGGCTATTCTCCAACGATGATTGAGTCCATTAAGCACCGATTTGGGCGGATTTATTCCCGGTCAATTTTTGGCAGATTCCAAAGGGGTACCATCACAGATTTCGGGCGATTTATCCGAAATGCCATTTTCTCTCGATTCTGGAGGCTACAGATCACGGAATCAGGCGGAGGCTATTCTCCACCGATAATGAAGTCTATTGATCCTATTCTCCACGGATGATAAGTCCGATAAGCATCGATTTGTGCCAATTTATTTTCGGATGGCAATTTCGTAATTTCTTGGGCGACGAAAGGCCATTTTCTTTGGATATTGAAGGCTACAGATCACGGATTCGGCCTGAGGCTATTCTCCAACGATGATTTAGTCCATTAAGCACCGATTTGGGCGGATTTATTCCGGGTCAATTTTTGGCAGATTCCAAAGGGTTATCATCACATATTTCGGGCGATTTATCCGAAATGCCATTTTCTTTCGATTCTGGTGGCTACAGATCACGGAATCAGGCGGAGGCTATTCTCCACCGATAATGAAGTCTATTGATCCTATTCTCCACGGATGATAAGTCCGTTAAGCATCGATTTGGGCCAATTTATTTTCGGATGGCAATTTCGTAATTGCTTGGGCGACGAAAGGCCATTTTCTTTGGATATTGAAGGCTACAGATCACGGATTCGGCCTGAGGCTATTCTCCAACGATGATTGAGTCCATTAAGCACCGATTTGGGTGGATTTAATCCTGGTCAATTTTTGGCAGATTCTAAAGGGGTACGTATCATCACAGATTTCGGGCGATTTATCCGAAATGCCATTTTCTTTCGATTCTGGATGCTACAGATCACGGAATCAGGCGGAGGCTATTCTCCACCGATAATGAAGTCTATTGATCCTATTCTCCACGGATGATAAGTCCGTTAAGCATCGATTTGGGCCAATTTATTTTCGGATGGCAATTTCGTAATTTCTTGGGCGACGAAAGGCCATTTTCTTTGGATATTGAAGGCTACAGATCACGGATTCGGCCTGAGGCTATTCTCCAACGATGATTGAGTCCATTAAGCACCGATTTGGACGGATTTATTCCGGGTCAATTTTTTGCAGATTCCAAAGGGGTACCATCACAGATTTCGGGCGATTTATCCGAAATGCCATTTTCTTTCGATTCTGGAGGCTACAGATCACGGAATCAGGCGGAGGCTATTCTCCACCGATAATGAAGTCTATTGATCCTAATCTCCACGGATGATAAGTCCGTTAATCATCGATTTGGGCCAATTTATTTTCAGATGGCAATTTCGTAATTTCTTGGGCGACGAAAGGCCATTTTCTTTGGATATTGAAGGCTACATATCACGGATTCGGCCTGAGGCTATTCTCCAACGATGATTGAGTCCATTAAGCACCGATTTGGGCGGATTTATTCCTGGTCAATTTTTTGCAGATTCCAAAGGGGTACCATCACAGAATTCGGGCGATTTATCCGAAATGCCATTTTCTTTCGATTCCGGAGGCTACTGATCATGGAATCAGGCGGAGGCTATTCTCCACCGATAATGAAGTCTATTGATCCTATTCCCCACGGATGATAAGTCCGTTAAGCATCGATTTGGGCCAATTTATTTTCGGATGGCATTTTCGTAATTTCTTGGTCGACGAAAGGCCATTTTCTATGGATATTGAAGGCAACAGATCACGGATTCGGCCTGAGGCTATTCTCCAACGATGATTGAGTCCATTAAGCACCGATTTAGGCGGATTTATTCCGGGTCAATTTTTGGCAGATTCCAAAGGGGTACCATCACAGATTTCGGGCGATTTATCCGAAATGCCATTTTCTTTCTATTCTGGAGGCTACAGATCACGGAATCAGGTGAAGGCTATTCTCCACCGATAATGAAGTCTATTGATCCTATTCTCCACGGATGATAAGTCCGTTAACCATCGATTTGGGCCAATTTATTTTCGGATGGCAATTTCGTAATTTCTTGGGCGACGAAAGGCCATTTTCTTTGGATATTGAAGGCTACAGATCACGGATTCGGCCTGAGGCTATTCTCCAACGATGATTGAGTCCATTAAGCACCGATTTAGCCGGATTTATTCTGGGTCAATTTTTGGCAGATTCCAAAGGGGTACCATCACAGATTTCGGGCGATTTATCCGAAATGCCATTTTCTTTCGATTCTGGAGGCTACAGATCACGGAATCAGGCGGAGGCTATTCTCCACTGATAATGAAGTCTATTGATCCTATTCTCCACGGATGATAAGTCCGTTAAGCATCGATTTGGGCCAATTTATTTTCGGATGGCATTTTCGTAATTTCTTGGACGACGAAAGGCCATTTTCTTTTGATATTGAAGGCTACAGATTAAGGATTCGGTTTGAGGCTATTCTCCAACGATGATTGAGTCCATTAAGCACCGATTTGGGCGGATTTATTCCGGGTCAATTTTTGGCAGATTCCAAAGGGGTACCATCACAGATTTCGGGCGATTTATCCGAAATGCCATTTTCTTTCGATTCCGGAGGCTACTGATCACGGAATCAGGCGGAGGCTATTCTCCACCGATAATGAAGTCTATTGATCCTATTCCCCACGGATGATAAGTCCGTTAAGCATCGATTTGGGCCAATTTATTTTAGGATGGCATTTTCGTAATTTCTTGGTCGACGAAAGGCCATTTTCTTTGGATATTGAAGGCTACAGATTAAGGATTCGGTCTGAGGCTATTCTCCAACGATGATTGAGTCCATTAAGCACCGATTTGGGCGGATTTATTCCGGGTCAATTTTTGGCAGATTCCAAAGGGGTACCATCACAGATTTCGGGCGATTTATCCGAAATGCCATTTTCTTTCGATTCTGAAGGCTACAGACCACGGAATCAGGCGGAGGCTATTCTCCACCGATAATGAAGTCTATTGATTCTATTCTCCACGGATGATAAGTCCGTTAAGCATCGATTTGGGCCAATTTATTTTCAGATGGCAATTTCGTAATTTCTTGGGCGACGAAAGGTCATTTTCTTTGGATATTGAAGGCTACATATCACGGATTCGGCCTGAGGCTATTCTCCAACGATGATTGATTCCATTAAGCACCGATTTGGGCAGATTTATTCCGGGTCAATTTTTTGCAGATTCCAAAGGGGTACCATCACAGAATTCGGGCGATTTATCCGAAATGCCATTTTCTTTCGATTCCGGAGGCTACTGATCATGGAATCAGGCGGAGGCTATTCTCCACCGATAATGAAGTCTATTGATCCTATTCCCCACGGATGATAAGTCCGTTAAGCATCGATTTGGGCCAATTTATTTTCGGATGGCATTTTCGTAGTTTCTTGGTCGACGAAAGGCCATTTTCTATGGATATTGAAGGCAACAGATCACGGATTCGGCCTGAGGCTATTCTCCAACGATGATTGAGTCCATTAAGCACCGATTTGGGCGGATTTATTCCGGGTCAATTTTTGGCAGATTCCAAAGGGGTACCATCACAGATTTCGGGCGATTTATCCGAAATGCCATTTTCTTTCGATTCTGAAGGCTACAGACCACGGAATCAGGCGGAGGCTATTCTCCACCGATAATGAAGTCTATTGATCCTATTCTCCACGGATGATAAGTCCGTTAAGCATCGATTTGGTCCAATTTATTTTCCAATCGCATTTTCGTAATTTCTTGGGCGACGAAAGGCCATTTTCTTTGGATATTGAAGGCTACAGATCACGGATTCGGCCTGAGGCTATTCTCCAACGATGATTGAGTCCATTAAGCACCGATTTGGGCGAATTTATTCCGGGTTAATTTTTGGCTGATTCCAACGGGGTACCATCACAGATTTCGGGCGATTTATCCGGAAATGCCATTTTCTTTCGATTCTGGAGGCTACAGATCACGGAATCAGGCGGAGGCTATTCTCCACCGATAATGAAGTCTATTGATCCTATTCTCCACGGATGATAAGTCCGTTAAGCATCGATTTGGGCCAATTTATTTTCGGATGGCATTTTCGTAATTTCTTGGGCGACGAAAGGCCATTTTCTTTGGATATTGAAGGCTACAGATCACGGATTCGGCCTGAGGCTATTCTTCAACGATGATTGAGTCCATTAAGCACCGATTTGGGCGGATTTATTCTGGGTCAATTTTTGGCAGATTCCAAACCATCACAGATTTCGTGCGATTTATCCGAAATGCCATTTTCTTTCGATTCTGGAGGCTACAGATCACGGAATCAGGCGGAGGCTATTCTCCACCGATAATGAAGTCTATTGATCCTATTCTCCACGGATGATAAGTCCGTTAACCATCGATTTGGGCCAATTTATTTTCGGATGGCATTTTCGTAATTTCTTGGTCGACGAAAGGCCATTTTCTTTGGATATTGAAGGCTACAGATCACGGATTCGGCCTGAGGCTATTCTCCAACGATGATTGAGTCCATTAAGCACCGATTTGGGCGGATTTATTCCGGGTCAATTTTTGGCAGATTCCAAAGGGGTACCATCACAGATTTCGGGCGATTTATCCGAAATGCCATTTTCTTTCGATTCTGGAGGCTACAGATCATGGAATCAGGCGGAGGCTATTCTCCACCGATAATGAAGTCTATTGATCCTATTCTCCACGGATGATAAGTCCGTTAAGCCTCGATTTGGGCCAATTTATTTTCGGATGGCATTTTCGTAATTTCTTGGACGACGAAAGGCCATTATCTTTTGATATTGAAGGCTACAGCTCACGAATTCGAAAAAGCTAGTTTGAAATTCTGCATGTTTATTAATGAGTCAAATTTGGATTAAACTTTGTGCAGTTTGTGAGGTCCGTGAGCAGTGGTGGAGCCAGAAAATTGGTCAAGGGGGTGTCTTTATCATATCATAAAAAATCACCTATACAATAAAAAAGTCAACTTTAAATTAAACAAAAAGTCAACAACGCAATACTCTAAATTCATACAATTACATTAAAATAGTTTCACGTACACCGGTTACAACATCTAACAAATAAGTTCAGTACATACAAATCAAACTTCCATTCATCAAATATTACAAAAGACAATAAATTTCTATGTTGTAGAGCTGCAAAAAAAAAATGAGCGAGTTTAAACAAAAGACAACAATTTATTACTATAAATAAAGACGAAAGTGCATTACATAACAAAACTCACTCGATCGAAATGATAAGAAATTCTTCTTGCAACTGAATGATCATTGGTTCGAATTTGTATATACCCCTACTCGGAAATTTTTTCTCCAGACCCAAGGGGGTTGCTAAGCACCCCCTCCTCTCCATGTGGCTCCGCCACTGTCCGTGAGCTGACTTATTTTAAGCTTATGAGCTATTTATTAGCGACTAGATCTATAGTTGGGTTGCATTGTTGATAATTCAAAGTTTTTTCGGATTACATATTTCAAATATATGATTTTTTAAGATTCTGAATAAGTGATCATAAAAAATAAATATAAATAAGTGATCAAATATGTCTAATTAATAATTTGATGGATAAATTATTTATTATAAATTGTTAGATACTAATTGCTATAAAATAACATCATCTAAATTAGGTAAAATATTAAACAAGACGTTGCCACTTAATAATTTGATGGAGAAATTATTTATTATAAATTGTTAGATACTAATTGCTATAAAATAACATCATCTAAATTAGGTAAAATTTATGAACTAAATATGATACCAATAGCGTATATAATATGAGATCAATTAGTGATGATAATTTAACTATTCTTGTCGCCAAATGTTTGTTAAGACTTTAGGGCCTCAATATGTTTACTGCGGTGGAGGTTAGTCGCTCGCTGGGGACTCAGATTGAGAGGGTCTGGAGCTGGAGCTGGAGCTACTGCTGGCTCGGCATACTGACGCTGGGGCTGCCGGAATGGCTGCCCCTTCCTAGGCTGGTAAGTCTAACCCCGCATCTTTTTTCTCCATGAAATGAATTTGTTTATTGGACCCTCCGTACTAAGAGTTCGTACTCGTGCACGTCTTGTTTATTGATAGCCATGTGATTCAATGATTGGTTAAGTCATATAAACACATAAACCGCTGAATTGTGTCATAATGACAAGACGTGCACGAGTACGAACTCTTAGTAAAGTGTCCAAATTGTACAATAAGGTGGATTTGGACTCCAAATGTCTTGTTATGTTGATAGCCATGTGATTCAAAGATTGGTTAAGTCATATAAACACATAAACCGCTTAATTATGTCATAATGACAAGACGTGCACGAGTACGAACTCTTATTACCGAGTCCAAATTGTACAATAAGTTGGATTTGCACTCCAAATGTCTTGTAAAGTTGATAGCCATGTGATTCAATGATTGGTTAAGTCATATAAACACATAAACCGCTTAATTGTGCCATAATGACAAGCCGTGCACGAGTACGAACTCTTAGTAAAGTGTCCAAATTGTACAATAAGGTGGATTTGCACTCCAAATGTCTTGTTATGTTGATAGCCATGGGATTCAATGATTGGTTTAGTCATATAAACACATAAACCGCTTAATTGTGTCATAATGACAAGACGTGCACGAGTACGAACTCTTAGTACATGGTCCAAATTGTAAAAAAGGTGGATTTGGACTCCAAACGTCTTGTTATGTTGATAGCCATGTGATTCAATAATTGGTTTAGTCATATCAACACATAAACCGCTTAATTTTGTATAATGACAAGACGTGCACGAGTACGAACCTCAATCTGTTTACTCCGGTGGAGGTTAGTCGCCCGCTGGGGACTCAGATTGAGAGGGTCTGGAGACCTTTAGTCGAGACTGCAGATGATAGACCAATAATTACACATGTTTCTACCCCTATTCTTGAGCCGTTTGAGATGTCGATTCCCGTGTTTTAGGCCGATTTCACGCTAGGTTATTCTTGTTAGATACCAATGTTTGTTAAGACTTTAGTTTGTTTATCTTTGTAGTCTCCAAATGCTAGCTTGCACATGTTGTCTTGTAGTGCAAAGCTTTGTCTATTTAAACCCAAGTATGAATGAGAAACACCAAAGGCTTCTAGGGTTTCATTTTCCTCAACTCACATTTATTGTTATGGTATCAGAGCCTCTAGATCCTAGAAAATGAGGCAGACATTCCCGGGACCGTGGTGTGCACGCCATGGAGGCCAGGTCTGGGCTCGAGCAGCAGGTGGCTGAGTTAGTGCAGACATTGAAGCAGCCCAACAGTCTTATCCCGGGCAGAGGTCTGGGCGGACCTCCCGTAGCTCAATGTCAGTGGTGTGAGAGCTCGAATCATCTGGTGGAGGTAGGGATGGCAACAAAACCCGAACCCACGGGTACCGACCCGACCCAACCCGGTCAACGCGGGTAAAATCCGTGTTGACGGGTTTTGGGCCGGGTTTGGTTTTAAACCCGTTCACTATTCATCGGGTTGGGTTTGGGTTTAGGTAAACCCGACCCATGGGTATCCGCCTACACCCATATAATTAATTTTCTTGGTATATTTAATATTCTAAACAACTAATCTTACTTATGTATGTGGAGACGTGTCTATTTTTTCTTTTTAATTGTGTAGAATGAAGTTGATGTTATCTAGTGAGAGTGAAGAAACTTAATTGAAAGGAAGAAACTTTCAATTAATCATGTTATTTATGGATAATTTGTGATTTGCTTCAATTTTCTTGAGTTTTCTAGATTAGTGTTGAACAATTTGTATAGTTTATTTGTGATTTGCTTGAATTTTCTAGAATTGTGTTTTAAATATGAATAATTTGATAATTTATATTGAGAGAATGATATTTGAATTTAATTTTGATAGGAACTTGTTATTGTAAATTTTTTACGACAAAAACCCGTGGGTACCCATAAACCCGCGGATACCCAGCGGGTTGGGTTGGGTTTGAGTTTTTCAAACCCGGTGGGTTTTACCCCTGGTTTTTTTCACGGATAAACCCATGGGTTTGGGTTTGGGTTTGGCAAAATCCGACCCATTGTCATCCCTAGGTGGAGGACTGCCAGGCTATGCGGGAATCCTCTACACCCCAGGAGCAGTTGGCCTTCATCGCCAATGTGCGGCGCCTCGATCCATACAGTAACACATACAATGAGGGGTGGCGCCAGCATCCCAAGCGAATCCACCTTATTATACAATTTGGACTCTTTACTAAGAGTTCGTACTCGTGCACGGCTTATTATTATGACACAATTAAGCGGTTTATGTGTTTATATGACTAAATCAATCTTTGAATCACATGGATATCAACTTTACAAGACATTTGGAGTGAGGTAGTGATCTAAGTTTTAAAATGTAACAAATCCAGAAGTCAACTAAAACTAAACCTTGCCAATTAAGAACCGTCTCTGTCGCCATGAAACCCTGACAAATTATCCATTCTTAATCCTGTGCAGCGGCGGATCTAGCACATAAGAGAGCACTGGGCCGCATTTGAATAGAATATTAGATACCATAAACAAAAATATATAATAATATAGTTTTCATTACAATGCCAATTATATAAGAAGGTATTTTAATTTAGCAAATTCATCAATAATATAATCTCCATCCATACTGATAATATACTATTTTTCAAAGAAAATAGCTAAGTAATCAACGAGAAATTCATCGCTCATTTTGTTGCACAAATCAATGTTCATGTTCCATTGCTGAAAATATTCTCCTGAAACGGCTAGGTCAACACTAGACAAATCAACCAACAAATCAATTTGTATTGTGTGTCCATCCCTGATTCCTCTAGCTTCTCTAATAATTTTTCAAGAGAAGAAACTTCATCTTCCTCACATGAGTAGTGCATTCTCCAAAGAATGCATCTCATAGCCTTCAAAGTCTCGAGGCTCAAGTTTGTAAATATTTTCTTCATCAAAACATCAGAAAGAAAGGTTAGAATCTAGTGCCCACTCAATTGAGGCGATCTAAATGATAACTCAACAAGTTTGTAAATATTTTCTTAATCAAACGAATGGAAAGAAAACCAGCTCGACGGGCTGGCGGAGATATCTACTCAAGTTTATAAATATTTTCTTCATCAAAACATCAAAAATAACGGTTAGAATCTAGTGGCCACTCAATTGACCTTTCTTCAATCCCATTTCCTATTTCCCCTCCCCAGTCCCCACCCTCTGTTTCATCTTATTATTCAATTCAAAGCTCGTACCAAGTTGTGGATAAATCACAAATGGCTTCCATCCCTGACTTCTTCAGAACACTGAGGGAAATCAAAAAGCAAATTTTTTTATATGACACATGCGTGCTTGTGATCCAATTTTGACTCGACCCTCCGATTCCGCCCCTTTTCGTTTGTCCCCTTTTCAAACTTCTCTGCTCCTCGTCTCTCCATAAATGGTTCGATTCAGGGCTGCTGTCAATGGCCGGGAAGTTAGAAGCCGTTTCTTTCTGTTGGTCATCTGGGTACTAGAATGTGAGGAATTCAGAGCTTTTCTTGTCCGTTTGCAGAGTGGATTTGGTCTCTGTTCCCCACCTGAGTCGAGTCGTTCGGTTCGTAGATATACAGAGTGCAGACTGCAGGGAACTAAGTATAGAGAGAAATTAGATGTGAAGTAGAGACCTTTAAGTAATGGGTAGTTGAGAGATCGGTGATTGCTCGGAGATTTTGCAGGTTTGCTCGTCACGGGAAGTCTCACAAGTTCGTTGTTTCTTTCTTCCGCCTTTTTTGTTTCTCTTTCTCACAAGAGAAGTGCTGCGGAGAAGTAAAAGCAGGAAAAGGGGGGAAACTTGTGGAAGGAAAAGATCCAACCTTTCGCATAGATTTATCTGGTTGAAGCAATCTGGTCTTCTGGGTATTATATAACAGTGAGCAATGGAAGTCTAGGCACAGAGAAAAAAGAAGGGAAGTTTGTTTTTGGTCTTCTCTCCTTTGTTTTACATCTTGGTTCTTCTCTCCTCCATGGATTATTCTGGAGTAGTTGAAGTTACCAGGGATAGAAATGGGATTGAGGAGATTCTACTTCGCAACCCTCGAGGAGCCTCAACAAGGGTTGGTCATTACTCATTACCATCCCTTGTTTTTCTCTTCTATAACAGTTATGGTGTTTGCTAATATTCTTTAGTGGGGTGGAAAACCTCTATTCACAGGTGAGCTTGTATGGAGGACAGGTTCTTTCCTGGAGAACTGACCAAGGAGAAGAACTTCTCTTCACTAGCAGCAAGGTGATGATGAATCACAATCAGATTGGGGGTTATTTTCTTTTGAAAGCCATCTTTTGGAATTGTCTGTTGCTTAAAGTTGATGTTTGGTTGCAGGCAATATTCAAGCCACCCAATCCAGTTAGAGGAGGAATCCCAATATGCTTCCCTCAGGTTTTCCACTTTCATTACATAGTAACATTTCTGAAAGAAGTTATTACCTATCTATCAGTAACATGAATTGGAGCCTGAAATTTCAATGTGTTTCTGTAGTTTGGCAATCGAGGAGCTTTGGAGCAACATGGATTTGCTAGGAAGAAACTGTGGGTAGTTGATGGCAACCCACCGCCATTACATCCCAATGATTCCTATGGCAAATCCTTCGTTGATTTGCTCCTGAAACCATCTGAAGATGATCTCAAGATGTGGCCACACAGGTAACAAGAACAAACAAGAAAGATTGAAGCTTTTCTTGATAAATATGAACAACCCTTCAACGGGATATGGCTTTGATGATTTGTATGTTGTGGGACTTTCAGCTTCGAGTTCCGCCTGAGGGTAGCAATAACAGCAGAAGGGAACCTAGCCATGGTTTCGCGCATCAGGAACATCAACTGCAAGCCTTTCAGTTTCTCTATTGCATACCACACCTATCTCTCCATTTCAGACATCAAGTAAGTTTGCAGATTACTGCAACATATCATCTCCTCCAATCCAATGGTTCCCCAAATGAACTGAGAACCATTTTTGCCTTCTGGTTACAGTGAAGTGAGGGTGGAAGGATTGGAAACTCTTGATTACCTCGACAACCTTCTTCAAAGGGAACGATTCACAGAACAAGGGGACGCCTTGACTTTTGAATCCGAGGTAATACTCGTTGGTCCTTCACTACTTCCAATCTATAATCTTTCTTTCCTTATTTGTTTTGGTAGAATATGTGGACTTGTGGATTCATAATATTGGGAACTGACTTCTGAATTCCCTTCTTTTAATTATGCTCTCTAGGTGGACCGGGTTTATCTGAGTTCATCAGATGTTATTTCTGTGTTTGATCACCAGAGCAAGAGAACATTTCAAATCAGAAAGAAAGGGCTCCCTGATGTTGGTAAAACAGTCTATTTCCCCACCCCACTTCTTCCTTTCCTTTTTGCTTCCTGAAGTTGCAAAGAATTTCAAGTATTTTCAACCATCCTTCTTCCCTGTAAAATTCCTAACTCCTTCCTGCTACAGTTGAAAGCTGGTTTGTTAGACATGGCAGGATACTTGCATTCCAAGAAATCATGCATCTTCTAGCGGGAACTGTAAGAATACAATATAACTCATCAGTCTGTCAAAATCTGCAGTGGTGTGGAACCCATGGGAGAAGAAAGCAAAGGCAATGGCAGATCTCGGCGACGAAGAGTACAAGCAGATGCTGTGTGTTGATGGAGCTGCGATCGAGAAGCCAATCACGTTGAAGCCCGGTGAGGAATGGACTGGCCGTTTAGAGCTCTCCCTCATTCCTTCAAGTTGATTGGTTATGGTGGCCACCATCAGAAACTCATATAAAGTAACCTTCTTTATCTGATTCAAACAAGTGAAGAATGCAGATATGGACAGAGATGGCCAAACTGATAAACAGACCCTAATTTTTTACAGACTTTGACCATTCTTTGTACAATGGTGTGGCATTATGACCAATTTTAGGGGTCTGCTACTGTAGAAGATAGAGGGAGAAGTGAAGATTATGATTGTTGTTGTGTTCTTTTGGCCTAATTGTAAGTGTATATACAAATACAATATGGATATGATCCTGATTGCTGAGATTAACAACAAAGTTTTAATTTTTTGGGCTCCAAATGTCCCTTTCTCCAAGCCCATTGGGCCAGCCAGGATCCGGCCCATACTCCGACACGCAGCGTCTCTCTCGCTCTGCTCAAATTACCCGGCGGTCACCTAATAATGAATCACCGCACTGTTGCTCAGACTCTGTTTCTCCTTCTTCCCAAAGCTCCCATCCGCCAGAGCTCGTTTCTTTTCAGTTACTGAATTTACCTGAACCACCATTATTGTCTGCTTGAACTGGCTGCAACAATCCCATCTCTGGGCTCTGGCTATTCGTTATCACAAACTACTCCATAGCCAGAAAAGTAGATAAAAATTCCTTCACTTTCTCGGGAAAAATTCATTGTTCCCCCTTTTCGCAGCTGGAGCTAATCAGGGAGAACAGTTTCCCCACTTCCCAGTTCCCACTCACTAGTTAATCATCACTCTTTGTATGTCTCACCGACTATTTATTTTCCCCACGTTCCTTCTCTTTCTCTCTACATCTCTCTGTTTCCTTCATTATTTTCCAATTTGGGTCTGCAAAGCAATGAGCAGAAGTCTTGGTGGGTGAAATGTGAATGTAGCATGAGCAATCATGCAACTTCCGCTTTGGGTTTGAGCATTTTGTTTTTTCCCCTTTCCGTTTTAACGGACTCTTCACTTCCAGGTAGCTTTTCTGAGTATTTTAATGGCGTGTGACAAATTTGCCTTTCTCTCTCTCTCTCTCTGTTCTTTTATTCTCCTTTCAAAATCCAAAACGATTCCTGACAACTTTGAGCGCTGTTGTTTGTACAGTTTATCAGCTTAATCCCTTGACCCTTGCTAATTATTTTGCGTCGGTTCAACTTCAATTTGAGCTGGATTTTGTGTTGTTTTTACTTGTTCGCTTTCAGATCTGAACAAGAGAGTTAGTAAGTAATCAGATAATCTCTCTTTTTTAGCACTAGTTTAGGCTGGCTGGCGAATTTCAGTGATTGCTTTATCTTGTTAATTGAGGCATGAAAGTGGAGAAGTAAAGAAAAGCAGCAGGCCATGGAAGGAAGGAACAAAAAGAGAGAAGCCTCGATTCCTGGTGTGGTAGAAGAAGGATACACAGAGAGATTTTTGAATTACAAAATTCTCATCTTTTCTCTTTTGACCCATTTATTATTCAAATCCTGCAACCAGAAAAGCTTCATCCTTTGCTGTTTTCGAAACACCAGCACAGAGTGATAGAGAGTGTTTTAGCCTCTCCTTTTGTCGACATTTATCTTGGAATCTCCCTTTCCTTTGTTCCTTTACTTCTCATTCTGTGTTCAAATTTGGGATCTTTCCCTTTTTCTCCTCCCTTTTTGTACTGTATTTTTAGTTGTTTCCACCTCGGCCTAAATTCCATTCTTGTTGCAGGGGAACTGCGGGGAAAGAAGCAGAAGAAAACAGCTCGTTTTTTCGGCCTTCCTCTGAAATTTTTCCTCTCCTATGGAAGAAGCTAATAAAGCTATTGTTCTGTTCTACTTGCTGGGTATCATACTGCTGGGAGCAAACGCAGACCCAGTTGAAGATAGGCAAGCTTTACTAGACTTCGTCGCCAAATTCCACCACTCAAGAGCATTGAACTGGAACCAGAGCTCTTCTCTCTGCACCGACTGGACTGGAATCGCCTGCAACGAAGATGGCTCTCGAGTGATCTCCGTGAGACTTCCCGGCGTCGGTTTCCAAGGCCCCATTCCACCGAACACTCTCAGCCGTCTCTCGGCGTTGCAGGTTTTGAGCCTTAGATCCAATGGGATCACTGGGGAGTTCCCTTCTGATCTCTATACTCTAAAGAACTTGTCTTTTCTCTACTTGCAATACAACAGCTTATCTGGGTCGTTGCCAGCTGATTTCACTGTCTGGAGCAACCTCACCATTGTGAATTTCTCCAACAATAGGTTTAATGGCACAATCCCTAGCTCGCTGTCGCGATTGACTCGACTCGCTACTTTGAATCTCGAGAACAATTCGCTCTCGGGTGAAATCCCTGACCTTGGTTCACCAGCTCTGCAGCAGGTTAACTTGTCATACAATTATTTGTCTGGTGCAATCCCTAACTCGCTCAGGAGATTCCCAGTCTCTGTGTTTGCTGGTAACAGCAACGTTTCGACTGGAGGAGGTGGTTTCAATCCACATTCCTCTCCATTTTCTACAACACCACCAGATTTGGTTCTTCCTGCTTCTAAACCGGGGAAGCGACTCAGCGAAGCAGCATTGCTAGGGATTGCAGTTGCTGTTGGTGTGTTAGTATTGGTGGCTTTTGCTCTAATGCTCATTTTCTGTTGCTCGAGGAAGAAAGGTAGTGGTAAATATGAGTATTCGATTTCTACGAAGTTGCAGAAGGGTGGAATGTCCCCAGAGAAGATGGTGTCGAGGAGCCAGGATGCTAGCAATAAGTTGGTGTTCTTCGATGGATGTAACTATGCATTCGATTTGGAAGACCTTTTGAGAGCTTCAGCTGAGGTTCTAGGGAAGGGCACGTTTGGGATGGCTTATAAGGCAATATTGGAGGATGCTACTACTGTGGTGGTGAAGAGGTTGAAGGAAGTGAGTGCTGGGAAAAGAGACTTCGAGCAGCAGATGGATATCGTCAGTGGGATTAGGCACGAGAATGTGGTTGAGCTCAAGGCATATTTCTTCTCAAAGGATGAGAAGCTCATGGTGTGTGATTATTACTGCCGCGGAAGTGTCTCAGCTATGCTTCATGGTAATGCTTTGCTCTACTCTCTGTGGCTTACTTCAGCAGTCCTTATTTCATCGTTTTACCTGCATTAATTAGTCCTATTTGATGCTTTGGCTTACTACATTATGCTTTTTCTTTGGGGTTTTTGTTTGGCTGATAGATTTCCATATAGATGGATCTTGAAGTAAGATGCATTTAGGGAGTAAATGATTCTGAAATCTAGCTGATAAATTTTTGTAAATTAAGGTATGTGGATCATCAAATCGTGATTACTTCTATCTGTAGATGGATTGATGGATCTTTAACCGTGATTAATAAATCCATCAAGTCGATGATTTGTTTTGTTTAATCACCTCCAAATTCATCATTTCCACTGTTTTTGAATCATACATTGTGTTGAATTCCCCAACTTGTGAAATTTGAACACAGCCGATCACTGGAAATCCATCGGCCAAAAGTGACTAGTAGTAGATAAACATGATCCAACGACTGACATCTGCTGTTTACCTTGCAGCCAAAAGAGGGCACGAGAGGGTGCCTCTAGACTGGGAAACAAGGATGCAGATCGCCATAGGTGCAGCACGAGGAATCTCGCGCATACACCAAGCAAACGGAGGGAAATTCGTCCATGGCAACATCAGGTCCTCCAACATATTCCTCAACCCCACCACCAGCTACGGATGTGTCTCCGATGTTGGCTTATCAGCCGTGATGAGCCCACTGGCTGCACCGATCTCACGCGCAGCTGGCTACCGAGCACCGGAGGTGACAGACACGAGGAAAGCAACTCAACCTTCCGATGTCTACAGCTTCGGTGTGGTCCTGCTCGAGCTTCTGACAGGGAAGTCCCCGATTCACACCACTGGTGGGGACGAGATCATGCATTTGGTGAGGTGGGTTCACTCGGTGGTGCGAGAGGAGTGGACCGCCGAGGTGTTTGATGTGGAGCTGCTGAGGTATCCGAACATCGAGGAAGAGATGGTCGAGATGCTGCAGATCGCGATGTCCTGCGTGGTGAGGGTTCCTGATCAGAGGCCGAAGATGGGCGAGGTTGTGAAGCTGGTGGAGGGCGTTCGAGGCAGGGATACCGAGAACCGGGGATCGACGGGAACTTCAACTCCACAGATGGCTTCTACACCAGTACCGGCTCTTGCTGCAGCTTCCCCGCCGGGATCATGAGCATGATTGATGTATGAAGTCTGTTGTAGTCCATTGTTCATTGTCTTTTCGGTTTTGTTTTCTTAAGCCCTTGATGATTCTGAGTGATTTAGTTGAGTGTTGAATGAATGGATGAATCATGAATGAATGCCTCTTTTGACACTTCCTTGTGGATTGTGATCAATGTTGCTGTCAAATTTGTCATTTGCTCATTATGTTGTAGTAGTGATGGGTTGTCAAGTTTGGATCTTTTGTTCAAAAGCACTATTTTGAAATTGAATCCTAATACTCTTTTCACAAGAAGTGAATTGAAATGTCTACTTTTGGAAATTTAGGGTCGTTTAGAAGTTGCGATTGTAAAATAGATGTATTGTCGACAATACATGTATAATATTATACATGTATTGTCGAATTTGATGCATTGTAGAATACAACGTTTGGTATGTGTGATTGTGTATGTCGCATTAGCTAAAGCTGAGACAAAACAATCTCAACTCAACTATCTCAACAATCACAACTAAAAGTTGAGATATAACAATCACTCAAAATGAGTGATAGTTTCTGTCACATCACAGAAACAATATATGTATTGTTTCTGCTAAAAAAACAAAAAAAAAAACGATGCATTGTAAACAATACATGCATAATGACAATCTCAACAAAACTATCGCAACTTCCAAACGACCCCTTGGCCTCTGTTTTAATTCTTTATCTTGAAACTGTCTTTGTCTTGCTGTGAGAACCTGATCCAACCTAGTTATAGTTCTCGCAATTCATTTACGAAAATTTTATTTATTTTGAAATTGTATTTTGATCTTATGGTGGGAATCGAAACCATTTTAATCATAATGTAAACATTTCATTCGTGAGAACATATTTATAGAACAAACAATTGGTCATATGATCTCAAGTTGTCAACAAAAATAGATTCATGTTAATGATGAGAAAGAATCTCATGTGATCATCAAAATATCAATACCTAACAACTAATCAATTACTATAATCAAAACAGAAGGAAAAGGAAAAAATAAAGCAGAAGAGTGATAATATCTAAGAAGAAAAAAAAAGGGAACCAATCAGGAGCTAGGGAACACAGTAGAATAGACCTGGTCCTGACCGTATAAAATAAAATCCCATCTCTCTCTCTCTCTTTCACAATTTCGCTGACCAACAACAACAAATAATCAGAAACGATTTTCTTCTTGGTTTCTCCTTCCCCCGTTTCGCGCTGCCAGAACACACGAAACCGTAACCGGCCGAGGATCGCTCTCAGCTCAGGTGCGCCTCTCTCTCTCTCTCTCTCTCTCTCTCTCTTTCCTTCCTTCCTCTGCTATGCTTAGGTTCTCTTCGATTGCTGTTGTTTGTAATCAATTTCGCTCTGATTTTTTGAATTTGGTAGAAGGGAAGCTCAGAACGGTCTAGGGTTTCGTTTTTTTTCATTTGGTTCGGGGGCGATGGCGTCGAAGCGGATCTTGAAGGAGCTCAAGGATCTGCAGAAGGATCCTCCCACCTCTTGCAGCGCAGGTCTGAGTTCGATTCTTCCAGCGCCTTTTTCACAGATCTATTTGCTTGCTTGCTAGCTTGTCTTGTCGATCTCTGTGGGTGATAATGATATGTCGGGGTTTTGAGAGATTTTTATTGTGGTAAGTAGGGATTGAGGATTCTTAGAACGATCTTTCAGCTGAGTGGGAGTGATTGATTGTTGGTGGAGATAGAAAGGTGTGGTGGGTTTTCATTTTGCTCTGAATTTTGATGATTGAGAAATGAGATACTGAGCTGAGTGGGAGGGATTGATTGCAGTTGGAGATGGAAGGTGTGGTGGGTTTTCATTTTGCTCTCTTTTTTTTTTTTTTTGGTAGAAAGTTTCCATTTTGCTCTGAATTTTGATGATTGAGAAATGAGATACTGCAATTTGATGGAAAGCAAGATAGTATATGTTTTCATAGTGATCTATCTGTGACATAATGAGGGATTGTGTGGCTTTTAAGTCCTCGCTGTAGCATCTGCTACAGGGATATCATTTATGTGGTTAAATCAAGTTCTTGGTCTCTGCTTATTTTCCACTTGAAGGCAGTAAAATGCTGTCTGATGTAGTTGCCTTGACCTGCCACTGCTTCTAGCCAGGAAGTTCGCATCTCAGTAATTTGACAGTTGCTTACATATAAGAAAGAACTTTGTGAAGTGATTTGAAACATTTTGTCTTATCTCTGGCTGGGTAATCATGGCGTGCAGGTCCTGTTGCTGAAGACATGTTCCATTGGCAAGCAACAATCATGGGTCCTGCAGATAGTCCCTATTCCGGTGGTGTGTTTCTAGTCAGTATTCATTTCCCACCAGACTATCCATTCAAACCGCCAAAGGTGCTTGACTGAACCTGTTTGTAAATCGACACATTGCTAAGTTAATCTTATTCATGTCCTTTTTTATCGCTTTACAGCAGAAAGTTCAAGCAGTATGACCCGTTTTGTTCCTCTGTATGATGCTGTCTGATTTCATGATACCGATATTTTAGTAGTTACTCTACGTGTTTTCTATTGTTTGGGGGAATCTGCTAATTATCATCCTGCTGTAATGGATGAACTTGTGCAGGTTGCTTTCCGAACTAAGGTCTTCCACCCCAATATCAACAGCAACGGTAGCATTTGCCTTGATATTTTGAAGGAGCAATGGAGCCCTGCCCTCACCATATCCAAGGTCATTGTCTCAACTGTTACCAATACTAAAATGATTCAAGCTTTAATTGTGCACATGTTCTCTGCTCTTTACTTTGGCTTATGTGAGAATTGGTTTCCATTACTCCCCCTGGCACTGGCAGTAGTGCTCAAGTCCATCGTTAAATCCAAGGGATCAGTAGTATTATCATATTTGTGCTCTATCGATACTAAAGAATCATGTAATCGACTCGTGCAGGTGTTGCTTTCGATCTGTTCCCTACTGTGCGATCCCAACCCCGACGACCCATTGGTGCCGGAGATTGCCCACATGTACAAGACCGATAGGAGCAAGTACGAGACAACCGCCAGGAGCTGGACTCAGAAGTACGCGATGGGCTAGCACGATCTGCCTTGTCTGGGAAAGGCAAAGATTTATTTCCTGTTGTGCCATTGTGTCATGAGAGAAAAATTGTTGTGTATGAAAGTAAAAGTATGATATTGCTGTCTTATCTTATGAACGGGGGACCTTGAAAGAAGAAACTGGTCATGTCTGTGTAGACAGACTTCTGTGCCCTGTTCTCTCTGAAATCGAACACACCTCCTTGTGTTTTCATTGTTCTCCTATCAGAATCTACCTATGGAAATTTTACTTGAGAGGACAGGCTTAATATATTGTGTCAATTCGTGAATGTTAGCTAGTAAATCTCTTCTTTTCCTCGATGAACAACGATCTATAGTAAGTCGTAGTTTGTATAAATAGTGTCGAAATTGTAGAATGATCGCCTGAAGTGCAGATATAACATCAAGCCCTTGATGACCCGAAGCTAAGTAATGCTCCTCTGCTCTACATCAAGTCAAAATTGCAGTCGCATCTCTGCTAGTACTAGAAGAGCCTAGATAAAAAAAAAATTCAAGGACTGAAATGTGAAATTTAATAACTTGAAGGAGTAATATGATTGTAGTGATTGATACAGGGAGTGATTGTGTAATTTGGGCCGTCGTTTGCTGCCGTGTGGAGTGTTATATATATCAAGCGTGTGCGTCTCTAGGTTTTTGGTTTTCTTCAGAATCTATAAGTTCACTGACGATCGGTAATCTTCTCGGTTCCTCTCGCTCTCGCTCTGTCCATCTTGCTTTGGGGGCACGCTACTGTTTCTAGCTCCTGCAGTACTGTTGATTTTCGAGTTTCGTGTTTGGATTGAAACTGATTGTGACCGACTTTATTAGTAGGGTTTGCTGCTAAGGTGGGGGAGATAGGGAGAGTGGGACTCGTGCTCTCTTTCTGTGCGTTTCGAGTTCTGCTTTAGCTTTCGACAATGGCTTCCAAGAGGATCTTGAAGGAGCTCAAGGATCTCCAGAAGGACCCGCCTAGCTCTTGCAGCGCAGGTTCATGATCGTTTCCTTTTTCCTATTTCTATTTTTGTTTGATCGTAGCATCGTGATATGTTCTTCTAGAATTGCGCTTTGTCGTTGTAGTCCTGCTGATGAGTCTCGGCCAACGTATTGAGGGAATTCAGTTTACTATATGTGTGCGTACGACAGCTAGGTTTTGGAATTCTGCATTGGAGTTGATGGATTTTTATTGCTTGATGGTTTTGGAATTCTGCTTTGGAGTTGGATGGATTGTATTGCTTGTTTCTCTATGGATAATGGTGCTTGAATTTTGAGCTACTTTGCTATCGGCAATTCGTAGATATTTGTTTCCTCGTATGGTTCAGTTCTGTGAGTAGAATCCAAATTTGGTTTCGGACTAAGAGTACTGTCGAACTGGATAGTCATTGATCACACTGCTCTGGCTCTAAACCTAGCTACTACTGTAGATCCTGGGAGGCAAAGTAAAAGCATTAGGTCACCAATGTAGTGATAGTTCTAGCTTTAACACCCCCGTATGATTCGCGCTTCAGATAAGCTGGTCTCTTTAGTTTGTTTGCTTAGGTGGTGTTTCCTTGTCTCCCTTAACGTTCGAAATTGTTATGGTTCGAGAAAGGAGACTGGCTGAGATCAATGAGTAGGAGGTGAATAGTAGAGGGAAGTAATTGATTCTTATTCAAGCAAGTTGATGCGAGCAGCATGTGGATAACTTTCAGGAGGTTGGTAGGAACTCAAGGACGTGCCCTTTAAACTAGGTGGGGGTACCAAAAAAGCAATTGTAACTGGCTAGGTGGAGCCTTGCAGTTTATGATACATCTTTGCAGGGGGAGTAAGGAGTTTTTGAGAAGGATCATTTGAAGTTGATTGCCAAATCGTGTAGGCTTTACCTCACTGGACAACTGACCACTTCTGTTCTCTGATAACGTGTTCATCTGCCTAGAGAGTTGTCTACCCTCATTTGAGTTCTTAGGTTCTTCCCTACCTTCTTCCACCAACAGGCATATAAGTAATAATGGAAGCTGTATCACCTGGCTGGCTATAGTAAATGGCAAAGTTTAGGCAATTTGAATCCATTGCTCGCTTTTGGTTTGTAATATCCTTGATATATGGAATCATCTTGCCATGTGTACCGAGATTGTTCGGGAGACCTCGTAATGGAAGAAATGTTATAGGATCTGAAGGAATTCAGAGCTTTTTCAATTCCATCTGCTCGCTTCTTTATTGCATGAATTGTTCATACATGAAGTACCTCTATTTGGAAGAAGAAAGTCTGATATTTTCATCTGTATCTTCGATCTTCACCAATAGTGAACTGATTTCTTTTTTCTGGTTTGGGCTACTTTAGGTCCAGTTGCCCAAGACATGTTCCAGTGGCAAGCAACAATTATGGGCCCTCCTGAGAGCCCATACACTGGTGGAGTGTTTCTAGTCAGTATTAACTTCCCACCAGACTACCCATTCAAGCCACCTAAGGTATTTTAATCCATCAAGTGGTAGAATTTTGTACAAATCTATGTTTCATTTGGTTTCTTGGAAAGAAGTACTGCTTGTTCTGAATTACCTACGTTTTTGCCGCTTTTATAATTCGGTTTATATGTACTTTGTTGGTTTGATCTTATTGGTTAAATGAGTGATCGTATAGGGTGGGTTTTTCGCAAGATCAGATGTAGAATTCACTGATTCTCTTAGTGTAAGAGCTTTGCTCGTGGTGCCTGTGAAGGGTGGGGGTCTAGTTATCTGATTACTGTGAAGTGTGAACTGGGTTTCCTCTGTTTACTCCATTGCACCATCTGGTGGCAAACTTCTCTTCTAATTAACTCTCTGCAAAACAACATCTGGGCCAAGATGCTCCATCCATACGCTTCTTTTTTCGATGTAACCTTGACATGGTAGATGGTTAAATCTTAATTTCATGTTCGAACACAAGGTGATTTTGTTAGCATTCTTCTCTTTGCAAAGCCTCTTAGCCAGTTGCATGATATATTAACATATACAGATGTTTCCCAACCTTTTTCAAAACCTTGTCGCGATTCGGTTGTCACATTTTATCCTTCCTTCTTCGTTCTGCTGCAGGTTTCTTTTAGGACTAAGGTCTTCCACCCCAATATCAACAGCAACGGCAGCATCTGCCTGGATATTCTTAAGGAGCAGTGGAGCCCAGCCTTGACCATATCAAAGGTCGATCGACTGCACCTAACCGCAGCTCGTTTCCTCTAACAACAACTTTGCCATTGTTAAGACTTGCTCATGTTTCTTTCCCCCCTGGTACTCTTTTCAGGTGTTGCTCTCCATATGCTCACTGTTGACGGACCCCAACCCCGACGACCCGTTGGTGCCAGAGATTGCTCACATGTACAAGACCGATAGGGCCAAGTACGAAACAACCGCTAAGAGCTGGACTCAGAAGTACGCGATGGGCTGACGAACTACAGCTGCTGTTTTTTATTGCTATGTGCTATATATGAACTTATATAAAAGGGGGAGAGTGGAAAAAAAGGCTGTGCATTTTACTAAACTTCTTTTGCGTCGTTTGCTCTTTGAAGGAATATGTTTACTTTTTTGTCAAGTGTATGAATGGAAGGTTTGAGTTCATGTGTCTTCTCGTTGTTAAGTGGACCAAATTCATGGCGTGGATTCCTTCTCCTCTTCCTCCTTTACGTCGTTCACTTCTAAATGGTGCAGAATTTGGAGCATACGATACTCCTGGAGTCCGGGTGTTCGTATTAAACGAAGCTCGTATCGATAGAACTTCCTTGCGGCTGAGTATACAATACTCCTGTTACTTCCAGATCCCATCAGGTGAGTGAAGTAAGACTTCCTTCCTTCTGGTTGTCTGTTCTCCACTTTCTTGAATGGAATTACAACTCAGAAGTCAAATTTCAGTAGTCCTTTTTCTCCCCTTTCCTTTTTGAACAAATGTTGTGAAGGTGTAATGGGTGTTCTTCAGCCTTTAGGGCACTATGCAAGTTGCCCTGACACCTGGAGAGAGAGAGAGAGAGAGAGAGAGAGAGAGAGAGAGAAAATGAGCAAAAGGTGAGGCTCTGGTGGTATGGCAACTTGCAAATTGCAAATGGTGAAGAGAAGATTTGCAAAAAAATTTGTTTGGGTTCCGTTTGGCTGGCAGGCAGGCCAACCAGGCTTAAAAGCCTGTAAGAGGAATAGTTTCAGGCTCGTGAAAAAAGCCGAATAACAAACGGTCCCCTGGAACATTTTTTTTTCCCCTTCTTTTCCCTCTTCAGCTTTGACAAATCTCTGTTGATTGTGTGGGCTGCCAACAAAATCTATACCCTCTATCTGCCCCTCTTCGCTTAATGAATTAGACGCCGTGATTGCTCGCGTCGTTGTTTAATCACGAGATTAGATGTTTGTTCTCTGTTAACGGGAACGTAACACGTAACGAGTTATTGTCTATTTTCTGTTAACATAACGGGTGGTAAAAACAATCCGAGGCGAATATCCTGATACCACTTTAAACCCAAGGAAAGAATGCTCATCCTCTATAGCAGATAACAAACAGCAGGGCTTAAAATCAAAATGGTTGGCCTGAATGAAGCTGAAATCTTTTGGTATCAAAGTAGGGCACAGAGAGACTGCAAATTGGGTCTCTCTCTCTCTCTCTCTCTCTCTCTCTCTCTCTCTCTCTCTCTCTCTCTCTCTCTCTCTCTCTCTCTCTCTCTCTCTCTCTCAGTAGCTTCTCAGCCAATACAGAAGAATAGAGGACAAGAATGAGTGAATCTGGAATTGGGTTTTTCCCACTCCAGGCAGAGCCTCTCAGACCATTCAAATCCTCTGCAACTTGGCTCTCTGCCCTTTTCTTTTTCTTGACTCAAAACAAACACATGGGCATTGATTATTTTGACAGTCCAATTTGAAATGTTAAAAAAAAACCACACAAACACAAACCACATCATCATATCATATGCAGACAAAGCTTATGATTTCTAATGAGATCCTTGATGGTAACATTACATAATACCACTTTGCAGAAATTTAACAAAATCAAAGGAACCCTTCATTTATAACCAAAAACCCACCAAGACCAAAAAGAGAGTTCATCATCATTTGACTTGTTAGGGCCATGATTGTGAGGTCCTCTGGTCTTTCTCGAGCACCCAGAATTTTTCACTGTGGTTTTTCTTTTCCCAGTGGCTGGTGGCAGCCTTTGATTCAATGGAGGATACTGTAGATTGTAGGGTTAAGAGTACTGCTGCTGGTGTTGATTTGCAGCTGCCTGCCAGCAAAATTTACACTAACTTGGGGTAGTTGTAATAAGAAATTTGTGTTAGGTAATATTGGCTTATTTGACACTTACTGTAACCTCTATTTAACACGAAAAAAGGATATAATAATGACTACTCACCAAACTAGTACTACTAGCTTATATATTTTCCCACCTTCCAAATCATCATATGTCAAATTGAAATTTCATTCGTAATGATTATGATATGTAATCTTGATTTGAAAGGCGGGTTCGACCCTGTTACAACCAACGATCGAACCACCGTACCGGATGTCGTACCAGAAAAAAAATCAGCAATATGATATTTTTTGGCTGAAACCCGTGGTTTAACCATTTCATACCGCTAAATACCACCTGCCGCCGGTTTTGCTTCCGGCATGATGTTTTTCTTATCAACCCGCCGATACAGTGAGGTTGTTTATATGCCAACCAGTGGCGGATGGAAATAAGGAGGAGAGGGGTCCTAGGACCCCACTTGGCAAATAATTGGACAACAAAACCCTTTAAATACATAGGTTTTAGTACGATCATTGAACTTTAGGACCTCATACTCTCAACGATGTTAGCTCACCAAGGACCCCGGTTAACTCAAAATTCATTAGGTACACAAGCATTTATGTTAGTAAAATTTTAAGGACCCCAGTGGACTCGATGTCTGGCTACGCCACTGATGCCAACTATCATATTTTTGGAGACAAATGATAAGGCTGCGGCTGAAAATAACTGGTCGACAACACACATCCACAAGCTGAGAAACAGACCGATCTAGACAGCCATGCAAATATTGAACTCGTGAGGCACAGTTCGTTTTCACCTGAAAACAAAAGGTCTTTTGGACAAGGTGGCCGCGGGCTACTACTTCTAGCCAGTAGCCATGTTCTGTGTTTTTTCTTTTGGTGAAACGATGAAAGAATGGCTTTATATGTTTCTGTATACATGCAATCCATTGTTTCATCTGCATGGAAACCCTAATTGGTCGAAACTCGAAAGCAAAACCATTCAAATTTTTGTATAGTAGCCGTCGTCGTCGAGTGGAGGTTTCCGTACTTTGAGGCATATGGAAAACGATGTCTAAATGGAAACCCTAGCTTAATAGGCTTGTCCCTAGCCAGCCAGCCCGCACGAGGATAAATATCATTCGTTAAAACGGTTAAAATTGTGTGATGGTTATATTTAGTGTTCGAAACGGTCCGGTTGCGAGAGATAGGTATGTCTCCACGAATTCGAGTCATTCATGATGATCATTTGTAATGTAAGTAATGTTGGATACAACAGGAAGAAATTGACCGATACATAACCTGCAGGTTTACCCAATCTTACTAGAGATCAAATTAACTGTATATAGCGCGGTATGAAGTCTGATGACAACACGCGGTAACATCATGTGGAGCTATATATATCGAGATAGAAAGTTATACAAGATTACAAGTATACTTTGGTAGTATTGTGGTAGCTTGTTATATACTTATATCCACTTGTAGTATGGATCGTTGTCAATAGGCAATAGTCAATGCCAATTCGATTAGGGTTTTGTTTGTATTTGGTTCTTTAATTGGGACAACGTGTGAACCGTGTCCTTTTATACTTGTCCCTATGGCTAACATTGCACTTTCTTTACCTTGGGTTTGGATTAATATATAATACTACCTTCCAAGCTCTCTTCTTCTTCTTTTTTTTCAAGGTATTCTCTAAGAAAAATAGGTAGATGCGAAATATATAAAACCTTTATGAGGCTGATCACAATGCAAAAGGAGAAAACATTAATTGGCTAATAACCAATTTACACGATGTAAGGGTTTGTTTAATTATTGATATGGGCAGCCCTATTTTTCTACGAGGAGCAAAATGGAACGTAGCATGCTGAATAGAAGTCTGCAATACATGTATCTCATATGGAGTAGTCCTCTTTCATCGTGTGTGTGACTAACGAATCTTTCGCGTTGACCACCCGAATGACTATCCTTAATTCACTCTGTTGATGTGACTTGAATCGGACTATCAGCCGCTACGACTGGTAATCGGGGGTCTCACTGTTATTTGGGCTCGGGTTCTGGGCCTGGTCTGTAACCGTTTCCTTTGCCAGATTGGATTAGGTTTAGACCCACATGGAGAAGTACTATAAATACTTCTCATACTCCTCTGTAATCCGTAATCTCCTCGGTATAGTGAAACTGACTCTCTCTCGCCCGTGGACGTAGCTAACACACATCGTGTTAGTGAACCGCGTAAATCGTGTGTCTGTGTTTTTCGATTCTCGCTTTCGTATTCTTGCTTTATCGATTCCGGCGATTTCCCGATCCGTAGCAGCGCGTTTATAACACACTTTTTCTTGCTATGAATTAATAGCCAATGAAATAGAGAGAACAACAATGAATTGAATATCTCTCTCTCCCTCTCTCACTCTAGGTATTGTACTATTTGAAGGAAGAGTGAAATAGGGGGAAAGGTTAGGTTTTGTTGGCCCCTACACTACACTACACATGCCTCCTACTATCTAGTCTTTGCTTGTCTGCTAATCTTCTTCTTCTTCTTCTTCATTTGTGGGTTCTGTCTTAAGATGAAGACAAATCAGTTTTGACATTTCATAAGTTAAAGCTTAAAGCACTACTTTGTCCTAAAAGTGACTACATGCATGCACCAGTTTTCCATTTTTAGTATTGTATGAGATCAAACATCTGATCGCACTAAGCCTATTAATTAGGACACTTTAATGGATGGTAATCATTGAACAATTAGAACTTAGAAGCTAGATTTTGTTCATTGGTTGGAATGTTAAGTGTAATTAACTGATAGATTTGGGATGGAAATCTTCCACCCCCCATTGTAAGTTGTAATGATCCTTTGAGTAGTAGTCAATATAATTGGTATGGATTTTCCCCCCATAAATTCCATTAGTGAAGAAAAATATAACCAATGTTGGCAATGTACATTTGAATATACAAGGCCGAATGCAATGATGATCCAATCTTTTATCGTCCAATCTCTTTTACTATTGAACGTGATTCTTGTGGTTTGGTCCCGCTCATGTCAGGTCGGACGGTCACACATCCTACCTGTAATCTAGTATAAGAATGCATTGCAAATATAACAAGCGATATTACGACCTATTGCGAAGTTAATTAATCCAACTACAATAAACTCTGTAAATATATGAGAACTTCAATTTCTCGAGTAATCTAACTAAATTTATCATAGATATACTTCGTTTCTTATTTTTTTTAATGAAAAAAATGAATATTTCTAACATTTTTTCTTTTAAATTACTTACACATATAAGTCGACTTGCACCAACTCGTATCCTGTGAATTTTTCGATCTGGACTCGACCTACCACTGAACGGATATGAATATCGAGATACCTATTCCGACATCCCTCGTTACCATTCCTTTGTTGGGCTCTACTAGGGAGCAACTAGATACGGCCGGCCACGTCAGTGTCACATGAAGAGAGGGCCACGTGTCGGTATTGAACTCGGTAGTCGTGTACGGCGCCGGTCATGGAGCTATTGCTTTTCCCATGGTCTGAACTCTGAGCCACCGGTGAGATGACAGTGGGCCGGTGGCAGGCAGACGGGAGGCGGCCTGCAACTGCGGGCCCACCACTTTAGCCCATACCCAGCCGGTCTTCCGCTGTCTTTGGTTCCCGAGACCACCCACTCCGTACGGCTGGTTGGCCTCTTTCTTTTTCTTTTTTACCTTTTTTCTTTTCACTTTTCCCTTTCACAAAATCAATTCTTTTGTTTCCCGGACCGGACCCAAATTTATAATATAATCGGGTCGGTTGGTTTCTTTATGTCCTTTTTAATCGGGTCGAGCAATGCCCAATATTAATTAGGTAAAAATTCATTATCAATTTAAATATGTTTCGCCTTCAAGCAGTGAGATTATGTCCTAATTTTGTGTGGTCAACGCACTATCACGGTTTATTAATCTTATTCATAATCGATTCAAAAGAAGTGATTTCTCGTCAATAATTCTTGTTGGTTTCATCTCCGGACTCAATAGGTCCCCTTAACGGATTTGTTTCCCATCTTTCATTTGCTGACAATTGCCCGTGATTCTGAGTATTAGGTAGCATTTTTAATTCTAAGCAAGCATTTTTTTCTATAAATCTTTGAGTCATTCGCGAGTTCATTCCAATAAGTTCGAATCTAATTGCTTGAACTATGTTCAGCATCAATCATTTGATCGATATGTCGGCTATGAGTACGAGACTCCATATTTATATCCATACCATGTCTAAGGTGCATAACTTTTGTACCTAAAACTTATGAATGCACCATCTAGAATCCCATACTTTGGAGGAGAGGTATGGTTTCCTTGTATG